CTAATTCTTTATTTAAAGTTAAGTTTTTTTAATTCGTTTTTGTTAGGGGTCGTAAGTGCTCTTTTTTTTTAGTTCCACCCTCAAATTGTCATTAGTTTTTTTTAAGTTGGATATGAAACTTATTCTTTTTTTAAAGATTAGTTGTTATACTTTGTTTTTGTAGGGATTGTAGATCAAAATTTTGTTTAGATTCTTTTTGTTAGGGCAAATATGGAACTAATTCTTTATTTAAAGATCAGTTCTTTTAGTTCGTTTTTGTTAGGGGTCGTAAGTAATATTGTTATTAGATTCTTTAAGTTGAATATGAAACTTATTCTTTTTTTAAAGATCAGTTCTTTTACTTCGTTTTTGTAGGGATCATAGGTCAAAATTTTGTTTAAATTCTTTTCTTCAGGTCAAATTTCAAGTTGGAGATGAAACTAATTCTTTATTTGTTCTCTTTTGGGTAGGACACATATTTTTTAAATTCTTTTCGTCGTTTTAGTCTGTTTTAGATGGTGATTATCCTATGGAACCAGGCGCCCAGGAGTTTCCTATAAAACCCTCCTTTTTATTCCTTCCATTTAAACCCATTTTAGTTCAATTTCACAATCTTCAGATTGTTGAATTAAATTAAAATGGTAGATGGATCTTGAAAGTACTTTCTGGATTTTGTCTCGGAACATCGGTAATCCGTGCTAACCCGTTTTTAACGTGGAGCATGTTGTTGCGCACCGGCGCTAATCTATTTGTAACTTAATTATCTGTCGTTTTCCTTTTCTACCCTTCCTATTACCCTAATTCCTTCGATTGGACCTGACGTGGACATCTTGGACTTCTTGGAACTTCAGGGTGCGAGTGAATCTTATATGCGAGTATGTATACAACCAGTAAATTTGTTTTTTGCGTGTTTTTGTTTATTTAAATACTTTATCTGTTTTAGGAAATTTTAGGTAAATAATATGATAAGGAGGGTGGAGGGTAACTCCGCCAGGTATTTTTAACCTGCCGGTCCCAAGCCCGGATAAAGGAGGAGGGCCCTCACTCTTTTCTATTTTTTTTAGATTGTTTTCGTCGGGTCAAATCTTGTTTAGGTTGTAGATGGAACTTAGTGGTTTTTGTCAGGTTGGAACATTTTCTTTTTTAAAGATCAGTTCTTTTATTTCCTTTTAGTATAGACTTCCTATTTAGCACCTTGTTTAGGTAGGAAATTAAACGTTTTCATATTTTAAAGATCAGTTATTTTGGTATGAACTTAATACTATAAAGTACATAAGTCAAATCTCTTTTAGGCAGGGTTAACCCTGCCATGCTTGTAGAATGAAAACGAATGTACGTAATAAATACTTACCAAATTTTAATAAAATAGGTTCTTAAGTTTATTAAAAATTAATTAAAAAAAATATATATACACCTTGTATTTCTGAAACTGTTGATTTTCGAAGTAAGTTTTTTATTGATTCTCAATTTATTAAAGGTTCCTTTTGGACCACCTTGTATATAAATGGACCCTAAAATTGTAATCGGGAAAATTCATTAGTCAATAGAACTCGCAAAAATAAAATGACAATTTAATATGAACTTCTATGTTTTAAGGCATCGTTTTCAAAATTCAGGGTGGTAATTTTTTTTTTAAATATTTATTTTTTAAAAAATTTCAAAACTTTTGGGCCGAATTTAATAAAATTGAATATAAATTCAATTAAGGAAACCCAACTGGATATTTAAAAATAAAATTTTGGTAGGTGCGCTACTGATTTTTTAAAAGTTTAATCATAGAACTTTGATTAAAACAATCAAAAATGTTACATTTTGTGATAAAAAATCTCCGCTAGTTGTCTTACTACGACAATATTATTTTTGGTTCAAGCAACTAAAAAATACAACTTTCTCATCTTAATCATTAAAAATTTGTTTATTTGCCCTGAAAAAATCTAAATATAATATTAAACTTACAATAAAGTGACAGAACCATATTTTTTATTAACTTTAATACCCTAGGGTATACAGCTGTATCTTGAAAACAAAGAGCTTACAAGTTCTTATACCTACATTTCTTCCTATTTTTGTAAGTTCTATTACAAAATGTTCACGAATAAAATCTGAGAGACACCCTATAAACATGTATACAGGTACAATTTATTATTACATTATTGTCGTGCCACCAATTTTAAATTAAGCGACACGGCAGTGATGACGTTTTTTATCTATTACGTCACTAGCGTGCCCGTAAAAAATAAATTGCAGGCACTCTAACGTGCACCTAGTCACTTCGAATATATTAACCTACCTTTAATTCAGATATTCTTATTCCATAATAGAGAAGCTAGATTTTTTTAAATAAATGCTGTTTAGTTAAAATTATTTTATGGAGAAAACCAGATATTTGGACCAAATGCACAAAAAATTACTTATTTGACACCATGTACTTTAGAATTTCATTAAATGCAGTATTTATATTATTAAATTCTTAAACCATCCATTGTTATTGTAATGTTATAAAGATTTAAGCCTGACTTATAGATTGCCTTCCTTCCTTCCTCCCGTAGTCGTGCCCGTACGATTTGTGCGTCTTGTAAAAAGTCAATTTATAGATTTCCGTGTAAAATTCCGTAACCATGCGCGATGACACCTAAAAAGGTTGACATTTATTTTTGTTTATATTTTGCGTTTTACCCATTGTGTGTAAATATGAAAGATAATCATTTAAATATTAGTGCAGTGATCACAATTTTAATTGCCCAGGCAGCTTGTTGTATACTGCCCAACTATGGAGAAAGGCAGTAACTGCTAAACAAGAAATTTGTGGGAAATTAGCATAAACTACATTTTTATAAAAAGCAGTAGGTATTTAACTGATTTATTTAACTTAAAAGATAGTTTACTGCATTTCTTTGTTGAATTACGATACATAGCACAAGAAAACGCATTTGTAGTTACTGCCTTTTTCCATAGTAGGGCAGTATAATGAAAAAAATATAAAACAAGACGTTGGAAGACTCGTCCACTTTACCAAGACCGGGAAACTATGGGGTTTTACAAAGCAACGTATCTAAAAATGAAAGACATTGATCATTAACAATATCTAAATATCCTATTTAGAGACACAAATTATTTAATAAACTAAAGAATCATGTATTTTAAATATTTTATAATTACGCGCTGTCACTCTACAGCGCATGTCAATAACAAACACTGTGATTGGTCATGTCAAAGACCTTTACGATGAAAGATAAAACTTAAAAATTTCTACGGGAGGAAGGAATGCCGTACTCACGGTACGGAAATCTATAACTGGCACTACAATTTAAATAAACATTTTTGACGTAATTGTTACCATTAACATTGCCCGTTATTAATTTTAATTAAACTTTACAATTATTGATACTTTAAAATATTAAAATAACTTCAAAATATGATTTTGTTAAGAAAATATTTTATTCTTTGATTTTTTTTATTACTATAATTGCAAAATATTATCACAAAGTATTAAAAATTCCTACACGGGAAATGTTAATGGCAACAATTACGTAATGTTCATCTTCTACGGGAGGAAGGAAGGAAGGAAGGAAGGCAATCTATAAGTCAGGCTTTATACATTTTTAACGCCTAAACATAATATTATTTTTTTCGTTGACTATACTTTGACTGATACATAACCTGAAAAGCCTTAAATGCCAAATTTTCAAAAGGCCGTATGTAGGAGAAAAAGTAAAAACAAAAACATAACCTACAAACCTGTTTTTTCAAAATTTTGTTTATTTAGGGTTGTTATTTAACACCTAAAAGTGGGAAGTTGGATTTTTTTTAAATAGGCCCTTAAAAAAAATGGTCCCCTGGGTCACAAACTCACTAACATATTAAAAAACTTATATAAAAATCATTTTGAAAATATATTTTTTTGCTTGTTAATAATTTATTATTTATAAAAAAATGTCAAGTACAAAACTAAGTAAAAGCAAAAACTATGTTCTATTTCTCAACTTTCTTACATATATAAGTATTTTTAATATATTCTCTGTATTTAAAAAATGTCCATTAAAAAAAATGAGTGTTTTATTGCGTATTAAAAACATTTTTACTCGATTTTTTATCTGGGCCCAGCTTGTCCAATTTAACGAGCAATAAATTAATACAGTTTTAGTTAATGGTAATAATAATAAAATAATAATAAAAAGTCAATATAAACATTGTTTCGTTAAACTACCAAACATTTTTTCCAGCTTCTATAAGGCAAAATACATCGACTAGGAAAATTACTATTAAATAGGTGGAGGACATTATTTTGAATTGGCTAGGTACTGTCAGAAACAGAAAAGGTGAAAGGTCTAAAAATATGTTTTTAAAAGTTTACTATAAGTTCATCAAAAATATATTATAATTTATTTTTTTGGAATTGTCCCCTAGGTAACATAACTTTCCCCTGGGGCACACAATATGGAGACGTGTGACCCAGGGGAAAAAATGGATGTTTTTAAAACATCCTTGTTTTAAAGATAAAAATTTGTATTTTTGCCCTTAAAACCATTACTAGGATACTACTTTGTTAAGGGACAAACTTGAGGGGTTATTTTAACCACTTGTATTTTTAAATATTACCACAAATGGGGTTTTTTGTAATATTTGGAATATATTCTTAAGTATATAAAAAAGCAGGATGTTATTTTACTCTAAGATGTTTAAATAGCATTAAGTAGTGAATATTATTGCAAGTGGGACAGCTACTTTTCTGTACTGTTGGGGAAACTTAAATTTTTTGTATAGGGTTAAATTTAAAATTTTACAATAGTTGCCAAAAACACTTAAACCAATCGATTTTGCTTAGTAAAGCTAGTCCCTAATTTAAAATCGAATAAAATCTGTAATATTTAGATTTTTTAAATAAAATTTTAAATTTGTCGATAAATTATAGTAGATAATAAATTGCTGCTACATCCACCTTACTTAATCGCCAAATATTCACCACTCCACCCAATTTTTTTCTGTCAAATAAATAAGTATTATTCGTAGATAATATTTACCCATATCGGTTAGCTGGTTCAAAACGGCCTCGTCCATGGCCGGTACCGGCGGCGACGTTTCCGATTCCGGTAGCAATTCCTCTTCCGGTTGCAGCCCGCCGCCCCGCAAAGACGTCAGGTCCAAAACGTCCGGCATTTCAATGGAAACGTCCAGTTTGATTGGCACCCAATCTTCCCTCAGCATGAACTTCTTCAGCTGTATGAGGATGAAGTCGGGGAAAGTGGCCAACCTTGTGGTCCTAAAAGCGTTTCATTTTAGTTTTTAGTTTATTTATTACAACTGCGATATTTCGACGATTAAATAATTTTAAAAAACTAAAACCTAAAATAAAACACTTTGGGGTCTAATTATGTTTTTTTAGTATTTAATTATAATTAATTAAGTTCACCACTTCAATAATTTTTTAACAAAAATTTACAAAGATAATTTTTTAAACTCAAAATAATTTATACCTAGTCAAAAAAATATAAAATATAACTGCAAAATTTAAGCTTAAAAATATTGATTTTTTAAATTTTTAGTACAATTATTTTATTCTACAAAATCATTTTGTTTTCGGAACCAAAATTGGTTGCATTGATTAAAACAAACTAAACTAGTTATAAATGAAATTATAATGTAATTGTGATTATGTTTAAATTATTAAAGGTAGTTAAATATAGGTGACTTCGGCCCAGGAGAGACAAAGTATTCCTAGCGGATAACAATCTTCGCTTTGAAAAGAATTTATATAAAAATTTTTTGCGAACACCCGTGAATTTTGTCCAATCATTAGACTCCATTGGTGAATGGGTATTTTGTTAAAGCCACTGGACGTTAATATTTGTAGTGGCTTAATAATAATTATAATGTATATATTGTCCAGGACTATTAATGATCAGTAACTTGCGAATTGAAAGAAGAAAAAGTTTCGTGATTATTGCTTATCTTTTTCAAACCAAATGGATGCTATTTTCAAAGACAGGAAAATTAACTACTAGATTTTTCACAAAAAGGTTTAACCTAACAGCAAATAATTTTTATTTTTGGTTTTTTTATTTCCCCCTTATTTTTTAAAATTTCAAAAATGTTTGATCTGCTTAGCTAATAATAATCTGTGATTTAATATTTGTAAAACCAAAAACGTTACTTTTTTACCCCAAAAAATGAGGCCATGTACTTTTTCTGCCATTGAGGCATTTGGCATGACTTCATCGAAATGAAGTTTTGCCCTTAAAAGTTCTTTTACTTTAGAATTTGATATTATTTTTGGCATAGTTATCTTTTTATATCGAAATTATATAATAACATAATAGTAAAACTACAATTTTTAAAAACTAGGTAATATTTTAAACTTGAACATTTACATTTGCATTTTATATTTAAAATATTTTTTGAATATTAATTGTGTTGAGTTTAAAAAAAAATAACTTTTTAAACTATTTTGATAGAAAATGTTTCACATCATAACTTTACCAATTTAATCTAAATAATTTTATTAAATATTTCTTGAAGAATTACAAAATTCTGCAGTAATAAATTATTTTTATTAAAAAATGATGATTACAAATTTTTGAAAACATTTATTGGAATTGTTTAATACATAAGTGAACTGTTAGTTAGTAAATTTTGTATTACATTACATTATAGTTGAAAATATTTTAAAATATAAATGTAAACCTAAAATTCTTAGTTGGGAAAATTTTAAACCAATAAAATTTTAAATTAAAAAAATATTTAATAAATGTTAAAACGTATTGCACATTTTATATATAAAATCGCCTAAAAAATAATAAAAAAATTGTACTCACTTTTTTGCTGAAACGTTTTTCTCGATGGCAGTACTGTAAAAGTTGCTGATGATTTCGGGATCAGTGAAGGATTCGATGCACGAGAAGAACTTGATTTTCGGTCGGACCAGAGAGTCCGAACCGAGAGGTTTACCGCCCGCTTCCGCTTCCGCTTTACGCGCCTCGTAGGCCGCCACTTCCTCCTTGTTGACTGCCGCTTGCATGGGTATCATTAGGGACAAAATCAGCTCGCTTCTCTCCAGGTATTTCACCTTTTTGCTGGAACCGCATTGGTATCTTTCCTCTACCTTAAGATTGGTAGAAAATGAAAAAATTTTCAAATAACGCTGCATACTTAACACGGTGCTGTTCTGAGAGGTGATTTTTGGACTTTCTGTGAAACCTAATTTTTTTTTATATTCTTGTTAATTAGTCATAACCACAGACCTACAAACAAAATGGACTGGCCTTTCCTATTCAAAATACACAATGTTTTGTTGCCAAGAACTATTTAGATTAGGGGTAAAGGGGTAAGGGGTATTTATAAACAAGTTCCCACACCAGTGGCGTTCTGTTTTTAGGGATTAATAAAAATATTAAATTGTACATTTTTTATTGTGTTTTGCAATCCTATGTAAAAATTATATTTAATATATATAAATATATAGGTATAACAAAATACTAACCTTGTCAGTTAGTGTTCCAGATGTTTGTAGGTCTGTGGTCATAACTAAAATTTTAAGAGCAAAATAAAAAAAAAATTGACGGTTAATTTTGTTTTAATTGGATGTTTATTAAAAATATGTATGCACACTTTCAATTCTCCAATTAAAACTTGCGATTTTATTTAAATATTATCATAACTTTTTAAATCAGATTAAAGATTAGTTAATTTCCTAAAAAAAGGTCTATACATTTTTTATATCTTTTACTGTTTTGTTGTAATACACGTTTAAAGTTTTAATTTAAGGTTAAATGTATAGTATACATTTAAACAATAATTCTAAGGGTGCCACATTTTATTTAGGGCCGATTTATTCATTTTTGATTTATTTGACGAATAATTTCTTTGGATACTAGATATTGCCAAGACATGAAAGTTATCGGCCCGATAAACTTTACTAAAGATGAATAAACCGGTCCTTAGTTAAATTTCATGAATTTCTTTGTAACGTTTACTACAATTTTTCATTTTTGTTTATAAAAAACACTTTAAAAACTAAACAAAAATTATAGAATAGGTATACTGAAAATGACAATTCAAACGTCAAATAAATTTTTAATAGATCTAAGTTTCATGGCAACCTTTAAGGATATATTAATTAAGGAAACATAAATGTATACGTCAAAGGTTAGATTAAAAGTTTGAATGTTTATTGCAACAAAACAGTAAAATATATAAAAAAAAAATTGTAAAAACCTTTTTTTAGTTATGCAAATATTAAATATTTAAATTAAATCGCTTGTTTTAATTGGATAATTGAAAGAGTGGATAATATTTTTAATAAACAGCCAATTAAAACAAAAATTAGGTTTCACAGAAAGTCCAAAAATCCCCTCTCAGAACAGCAGCGTGCGCTGCATACTTAACGTATAAATAAAAAAAATACAATTTTGTTTTTTCTATCAAAATTACTTCTTACGTTAATTTGGGACAATTTTCCAGATAACCATCAAAATACAAACAACGTTAGTTATTATTAATTTATAAAATAATTACAAAACCATTCGCTGTAGTTCATTTTCCGGTATAAAAGTATACATAAGTATTTCCTAGCAAAAATGATTTCGTGGGTACACTTCGAAAACGACTGCTATATATGTCACATGAGACCAAGTTTGTTGCTGGCCGGTGGAGTGTTTGCCATGTCAAAATATTACTGTCCTCATAAGAACGACGTGACATTCGCATATTTCGAATTGTTTTGGTATCACCACTTAATTGCCTTGATGTATACATTTCCCTTCTATGTAATAACTGTTATACTGGTGTTGAGTTTTGGTGATGAAATGGAAGACAAAATTAGGTTGACTATGAGATTGTTTTTGTATGTGAGTTGTATTTTAATGGACGTTACAAATCATTTGTATCAAAGATTGCAAGTTAATGTAATGAACACACTTTTATTTTTACTGGCAAATAGAAGATTGTATGGTGTAAAGATGTGGTTTTCCGATAAATCATCAATGTATATGAGTTTTACTATTTTCATGTTTACGTCACTTTATCTTGTATTAACTCTGGTTGGGGCAACATATGCGGTTGATCAAAAGCTCAACTATTTCCAGAGTTTCATAAAATATTTCGCTTTTTTAAGTGCAGGTTTGTATCATTTAACAATGATACAGTATTTTTTTACACACGTTCGTTTCTATAAGCGACTATTTATAGTTTGCAACCATCAAATTGAACAATGCTTGGAAAATTACAGAAGCAATGGCAATTTTGAGTGCGGCAGCTATTTTTATTCATTGCCGCTGGAGGATCAACTCAAACGGTTACATCGTTTATACTTGCAAATATTGCATTTATATCAATTAAGTTTGGGAAGAATTTCCAACATTCACATTACACTAATCCCCATTATTCTTATTGTCTATCTCATTGGGTATAGTATCCTATATATTTTTAATTCAATACAGGGAGATCCTCAAACCACAGGAGCGTTTGTTTCAGTCATTATATTAAGCATGGCCCTTATCGATGTTTTTGGTATGACTATACCCGCCACTATGGCTGCCAATATTGTAAGAATTAAACGAAAATAATTAAGTAACAAGGTATAAGCAATATATTTTAGGGTGATGACATTATATCATACTTATTTAGATACCCAACTACAATTTTAAAACCTCAAGAAGCTGCTCAGGTACCTATTTCACTAGTTACACGAAAAAAATCATAAAATAAATATTTTATTTTTTGTAGGTTGAACTGCTTATATTTACTTTAACTGCTTTGAAACCAAAATTGGTGGCGTCAAGAGTATTTAACGTTGAAGTGAGCCTTATTGCATCTGTAAGTGCATTTTTTTAAATGTGTTTTTAACTCTGTTGTTGCTATTTTTTATTTTAGATTTCTGGAGCCGTTGTTACGTATATTTTGGTTGCTTTGCAATTACACCAGGGTTTTATAAAAAATTTAAAAAACATTGAGGCAGAAAGAAATTAAATTTAGAATTTAGAAAACATCAGCCAAGTTGTGCAATAGTTTATATTGGAAAATTTGAAAATATAAAAATGCTTTTTTAAGTTTACAGGCGTTATATGTTTAGCATTTTTATTTATTTAATAGCGTATTACGGAAACAACAAATTATTAAAACGTGTTCCCTGTATGTTCCCATTAATAGATAAGATAATTTTCCTTAATTTGAGATTTATATCATTGGCCCCCAAAAAAGTTAGGCAACACACAAACAATAAATTACACACCACCAATATTGATTTTTATCCAAAATTGGCAATAAATAAAAATAATATTTATAAATATTTATAAAAATAATAAAACACCACAACATACAAATTATGGAAAACTTAATGCACGGTAGAGACCATAACCTGCCCCCCAAAAGGAAATATCCTACACAAACTTTATGGGAGATAATCACGGACATCACTAACGAAGACTAAAATATTTGAGATTTATATGATTTTATTACTTGTTTTTATATAAATTCAATACTGTAACTACAATTAACAATTATTATATTTATACATTTTTTTGTAAAATTGGGCAGAAAGACCACGGTCGATAGCCTGTTGGGAAACCAATAAAGATGTTTATTATTATTAAAAATAATACACGTCCAGAAAATGTTTGCTATTCCCTACATAACCCTATATTTAGTAATCAATAAAAAATTTAAAATTTTTGGTTTACTGCGTTAATTTGGGACACCCTTTATAAGTCAAGGGTGATTGTACTATTTTTCCAGATAACTATCAAAATACAAACAACTCATTAGTATTTTGTAAAATAATTATTAAACCATTAATGTAGAGCATTTTCTGATATACAAGTATACAGAAGTATTTCCTAGCCAAAATGACTTCGTGGGTACAATTCGAAAACGACTGCTATATATGTCACATGAGACCAAGTTTGTTGCTGGCCGGTGGAGTGTTTGCCATGTCAAAATATTACTGTCCTCATAAGAACGACGTGACATTCGCATATTTCGAATTGTTTTGGTATCACCACTTAATTGCCATGGTGTATACATTTCCCTTCTATGTAATAACTGTTATAATGGTCTTTAGTGTTGGTGATGAAATGGAAGACAAAATAAGGTTGACTATGAGATTGTTTTTGTATGTGAGTTTTATTTTAATGGACGTTACCAATCATTTTTATCAAAGATTGCAAGTTAATGTAATGAACACACTTTTATTTTTACTGGCAAATAGAAGATTGTATGGTGTAAAGATGTGGTTTTCCGATAAATTAATAATGTACGTAAATTTGATTATGTTTACTTTTGCGTCAATTTATATTGTCTTAACTCTGGTTGGGGCATCTTATGCGGTTGATCAGAAGCTCAACTATTTCCAGAGTTTCATAAAATATTCCGATTTTCTGAGTGGAGGTTTGTATCATTTAACAATGATACAGTATTTTTTTATACACGTTTTTTTCTATAAGCGACTATTTACAGTTTGCAACAAGCAAATTGAACAATGCTTGGAAAACAACAGAAGCAATGGCAATTTTGAGTGTGGCAGCTATTTTTATTCTTTGCCGCTGGAGGATCAACTCAAACGGCTACATCGATTATATTTGCAAATATTGCATTTATTTAAATTAAGTTTGGGAGTAATTGCCAACATTCACATTACACTAATCCCCATTAATCTTATTGTCTATCTCATTGGGTATAGTATCCTATATATTTTTAATTCAAAACAGGAAGATACTCAAACCACAGGAGCGTTTGTTTCTGTCGTTATAATAAGCATGTGCCTTATCGATGTTTTTGGTATGACTATACCCGCCACTATGGCTGCCAATATTGTAAGAATTAAACGAAAATAATTAAGTAACAAGGTATAAGCAATATATTTTAGGGTGATGACATTATATCATACTTATTTAGATACCCAACTACAATTTTAAAACCTCAAGAAGCTGCTCAGGTACCTATTTCACTAGTTACACGAAAAAAATCATAAAATAAATATTTTATTTTTTGTAGGTTGAACTGCTTATATTTACTTTAACTGCTTTGAAACCAAAATTGGTGGCGTCAAGAGTATTTAACGTTGAAGTGAGCCTTATTGCATCTGTAAGTGCAATTTTTTAAAAATGTGTTTTTAATTTTGCTGCTGCTGTTTTATTTTAGATTTCTGGAGCCGTTGTTACGTATATTTTGGTTGCTTTGCAATTACACCAGGCTTTTATAAAAAATTTAAAAAACATTGAGGCTGAAAGAAATTAAATTTATAATTTAGGAAACATCAGCCAAGTTGTGCAATAGTTTATATTAAAAAATTTGAGAAGATAAAAAATATTTTTTAAGTTTTAAGGCGTTATATGTTTGACATTTTTATTTATTTAATCGCGTATTTTGGAAAAACAAATTATTAAAACGTGTTCCCTGTATGTTTCCATTAATAGATAAGATAATTTTCCTTAATTTGAGATTTCATAATAGGCCCCCAAAAAATTACACACCACCAACATTGTTTTTATCCAAAATTAGCAATAAATAAAAAAAATAAACGCCCAGAAAATGTTTGCTATTCCCCACATAACCCTATACTTTAGTAATCAATAAAAAATTACAATTTTGTGTTTACTGCGTTAATTTTTTTATAAGTCTAGGGTAATTGTACAATTTTTCCAGATAACCATCAACATACAAACAACTCATTAGTAATTTGTAAAATAATTACAAAACCAGTCGTTGTAGTGAATTTTCTGATATACAAGTATACAGAAGTATTTCCAAGTCAAAATGACTTCGTGGGTACAATTCGAAAACGACTGCTACATATGTTACATGAGACCAGGTTTGTTGCTGGCCGGTGGAGTTTTTGCCATGTCAAAATTTTATTGCTCTCATAAGAACAACGTGACCTTCGCATATTTCGAATTGTTTTGGTATCACCACTTAATTGCCTTGATGTATACATTTCCCTTCTATGTAATAACTGTTATACTGGTCTTTAGTGTTGGTGATGAAATGGAAGACAAAATAAGGTTGACTATGAGATTGTTTTTGTATGTGAGTTTTGTTTTAATGGACGTGTCCAATCATTTTTATCAAAGATTGCAAGTTAATATGATGAACACACTCTTATTTTTACTGGCTAATAGAAGATTGTATGGTGTAAAGATGTGGTTTTCCGATAAATCATCAATGTTAACAAGTTTTACTACTTTTATGTTTACGTCAATTTATATTGTCATAACTCTGGTTGGGGCATCTTATGCCGTTGATCAGAAGCTCAACTATTTCCAGAGCTTCATAAAATATTCCGCTTTTCTAAGTGCAGGTTTGTATCATTTAACAATGATACAGTATTTTTTTACACACGTTCGTTTCTATAAGCGACTATTTATAGTTTGCAACCAACAAATTGAACAATGCTTGGAAAACTACAGAAGCAATGGCAATTTTGAGTGCGGCAGCTATTTTTATTCTTTGCCGCTGGAGGATCAACTCAAACGGCTACACCGTTTATATTTGCAAATACTACATTTATATCAATTAAGTTTGGGTGTACTTGCCAATGTTCAAATTACACTAATTCCTATTGTTCTTATTGTCTATCTCATTGGGTATAGTATCCTATATATTTTTAATTCAAAACAGGAAGATACTCAAACCACAGGAGCGTTTGTTTCTGTCGTTATAATAAGCATGTGCCTTATCGATGTTTTTGGTATGACTATACCTGCCACAATGACTGCTAATATTGTAAGAATTAAACTAAAATAATTGTGTAACAAGGTATACGCAATATATTTTAGGGTGATGACATTATATCATATTTATTTAGATACCCAACTGCAATTTTAAGACCTCATGAAGCTGCCCAGGTACCTATTTTACTAGGTAAACGAAAAAAATCATAAAATAAATATTTTATTTGTAGGTTGAACTGCTTATATTTACTTTAACTGCTTTGAAACCGAAATTGGTTGCATCAAGAGTAATTAACGTTGGAGTGAGCCTTATTGCATCTGTAAGTGCAATTTTGTTTTAATTTGTTTCAATTTTTTTTTGCTATTTTTTTTTTAGATTTCTGGAGCCGTTGTTACGTATATTTTGGTTGCTTTGCAATTACACCAGGCTTTTATAAAAAATTTCAAAAACATTGAGGCAGCAAGAAATTAAATTTAGAATTTAGAAAACATCAGCCAAGTTGTGCAATAGTTTATATTGGAAATTTTGAGAAGATAAAAAATATTTTTTAAGTTTTAAGGCGTTATATGTTTGACATTTTTATTTATTTAATCGCGTAATTTGGAAACAACAAATTATTAAAACGTGTTCACTGTATGTTTCCATTAATAGATAAGATAATTTTCCTTAATTTGAGATTTCATAATAGGCCCCCAAAAAATTACACACCACCAATATTGTTTTTATCCAAAATTAGCAATAAATAAAAAAAAATAAACGCCCAGAAAATGTTTGCTATTCCCCACATAACCCTATACTTTAGTAATCAATAAAAAATTACAATTTTGTGTTTACTGCGTTAATTTGGGACACCCTTTATAAGTCAAGGGTAATGTACAATTCTTCCAGATACCCATCAAAATACAAACAACGTTCCTCGTTAGTAATTTATAAAATAATTACAAAACCATTTGTAGTAGTGCATTTTCTGGTATACAGAAGAATTTCCTACACAAAATGACATCGTGGGTAGACTTCGAAAACGACTGCTATATATGTTACATGAGACCGAGTTTGTTGCTGGCCGGTGGACTGTTTGCCATGTCAAAATATTACTGTCCTCATAGGAACAACGTGACCTTCGCATATTTCGAATTGTTTTGGTATCACCACTTAATTGCCTTGATGTATACATTTCCCTTCTATGTTATAACTGTTATACTGGTGTTTAGTGTTGGTGATGAAATCGAAGACAAAATTAGGTCGACTATGAGATTGTTTTTGTATGTGAGTTTTATTTTAATTGACGTTACCAATCATTTTTATCAAAGATTGCAAGTTAATGTAATGAACACACTTTTATTTTTACTGGCAAATAGAAGATTGTATGGTGTAAAGATGTGGTTTTCCGATAAATCAATAATGTACGTAAATTTGACTATGTTTACTTTTGCGTCAATTTATATTGTCTTAACTCTGGTTGGGGCATCTTATGCGGTTGATCAGAAGCTCAACTATTTCCAGAGTTTCATAAAATATTCCGCTTTTCTGAGTGGAGGTTTGTATCATTTAACAATGATACAGTATTTTTTTACACACATTCGTTTCTATAAGCGACTGTTTATAGTTTGCAACCAGCAAATTAAACAATGCTTGGAAAACTACAGAAGCAATGGCAATTTTGAGTGTGGCAGTTATTTTTATTCGTTGCCGCTGGAGGATCAACTCAAACGGCTACATCGTTTATATTTGCAAATATTGCATTTATATAAATTAAGTTTGGGAGTAATTGCCAACATTCACATTACACTAATCCCCATTAATCTTATTGTCTATCTCATTGGGTATAGTATCCTATATATTTTTAATTCAAAACAGGAAGATACTCAAACCACAGGAGCGTTTGTTTCTGTCGTTATAATAAGCATGTGCCTTATCGATGTTTTTGGTATGACTATACCTGCCACTATGGCTGCCAATATTGTAAGAATTAAACTAAAATAATTGTGTAACTAGGTATAAGCAATATATTTTAGGGTGATGACATTATATCATATTTATTTAGATACCCAACTACAATTTTGAAACCTCAAGAAGCTGCTCAGGTACCTATTTTACTAGGTACACACAAAAATCACAAAATAAATATTTTATTTGTAGGTTGAACTGCTTATATATACTTTAACTGCTTTAAAACCGAAATTGGTTGCATCAAGAGTATTTAAAGTTGGAGTGAGCCTTATTGCATCTGTAAGTACATTTTTTATTTAATTTGTTTCAAATTTTTTTATGATATTGCTATTTTTTATTTTAGATTTCTGGAGCCGTTGTTACGTATATTTTGGTTGCTTTGCAATTACACCAGGCTTTTATAAAAAATTTAAAAAACATTGAGGCAGCAAGACATTAAATTTAGAAAACATCAGCCAAGTTGTGCAATAGTTTATATTTGAAAATTTAAGAGGATAAAAATCCTTTTTTTAAGTTTTAGGGCATTATTTGTTCGATCTTTTTATTTACTTAATCACGATTTTGGAAACAACAAATTATTAAAACGTGTTCTCTTTATATTTACAATAATAGAAAATTTTCCCTAATTTCAGATTGATATCATAATGGGTCTCCAAAAAAGTTAAGTAAACACAAACAATAAAATATACACCACCAATATTGTTTTTATCAAGAAAAAATATTCTTATACATCAATAATAAAATACCTATGGTATTCAAAAAAGTGTTTTGGACCTTTTGAAATCTGACCAGTGAAATAATTAAGGGCCTCAAAATAAAAGTGCGGCAAGGACAGCAACTTTTTTATTATTTTTACTGTTAAGTTTTTAACAATACTGATACTGATTTTTTGTCTCTTATTAATTAATATTGTAGATAAGTCATTTTTGCTTAATGAGGCAGCTGCAGTTATACCCTACTTATTCTAATAATTTTTTAAAAGTTATTTTTTGGCATTACCATTTATTTAAGGAAAACGTGTAATTTTATAATATTTTGTAATATGAAAAAGATGTTCAGCTTTTTTAAGCTTTCAATTTGTTTTTATGCTTAAAACTTTGAAGAATTTAGAAACCTTTTAAAAAAATTTTAATTTTTAAAATTTATTATATTTTAAAAAATTGTAAAAATTTTGGAGATTTGAAAATTCTAGAAATTTTTATATTTATACCTGTGCGAATTGTATAATTTTGAAATACTGTGCGAATTTATTTGATATTTTAAAATTTTGTCTCATTATTTTTCATTTTCATAGTACTGTGCGAATTTTTTCAACAATTTTTTAATTTTAAGCCACTGAAATTTTATCCTGTTTTTAAGATTAACATTTTGAAATTTTTAAAATTTCTTATATTTTATTTTTTTTATATTTATACCTACTACTGTGCGAATTTTTAACAATTTTTTTAATTTTAAACCAATGAAAATTAAACTTTCTATTATTTGATTTGATTCAAATATTTTAATACGACATCAACAATAAATGTTGCAACATTTTTTAGTTTTAGAGATTTTGAAAATTTTAATTGTGCGATCTTTTTCCACAATTTTTTAATCTTGAACCACTTCGCGATTTTGACTTTTTTAATTTTAAACTGCGAATTTTTTTCATTAATAAAACCACTGTGCGAATTTAACCTTTTATTTTTTAATTTTGACACTGTTGAGCTTTCAAGCTGCTCAAAGTTTTTTAGAATTTCTAATTTTAGCAATTTTGAATTTATTCAAAATTTGTCCAAACATTTTTTATAATTAGGCCACTTTAAAAATTTTGTTCTAATATTCTGTTACAACAGTCATTTTCAATTTCGAAAATTTTAAAATTATGTACATATTATTATTGTGCAAATTTTAAAAATGTAGATTTTGAGAATTTAAAAAATTCGTATTTATATTACTGTGCAATTTCCCCTCAAATGTTCAATTTTAAACCACTGTGCGAGTTTGACGTTATTTTTTAAATTTTTAACTTCGAATTTATCCCATTGTTTTTTAATTTTGAAGAACTGTGCGAACTTATCCTATTTTTTATTTTTTAAGTACCTACTGGGCTAATTTGTCGCACCATTTGTATAAATGCCATGGTGCGAATTAGATTTTCCCCGTGCGCAAGGAAGATAAAATGTTAATTTTTTATCATTACCTTAAACTTGAAGCAGTCGCCCGGATTTCCCTTGTTCAGGGTGTTTCTTTCCAAAAGAGTGAGCAAATGCAAAATGAACTCCTGCACGTCCTGCTGCTTTTTCGTGGAAAATTCCGGATGACCGCGACCGATTATGGTTTTGAACATTTGCGGGCAAATTCCGGGAGAATCTTCGTCCACCGGAGACCCGCTCGGTGGGGGCACCGAGTATTTTCCGGAGAGAAGCCCAAAACCCAATTTAGCCCTGAAAAATAACGATAAATATGCTACTCTTTCCGACGATTTTAAATCATTAAAGACGGTTAAAAATCATTTTTATGAAAAAAGTATTATTTTTACAAAAAAGCCATTGTACTTTCCAAGGGTGACATTCACAATATCGAAATTCATTACCTATATCGAATTCAAAATATCGAACAATTTTTATCGAAAATACAAAATGTCGAAAATTAAAATATCGAAAATTCAAAATGTCGAAAATGATAATATCGAAAATTAAAATGTCGATTTGAAAATGTCGAATAATTAAAGGTAGTGTCTCCCCGACCGTCGGACGGACGTAGAAAAGTGTGTGCTCGACCTTCGGACGGACGTAGAAATGTGTGTGCTCAACCGTCGCATATTTTAACCTCATTTTCAAGTAGAGGCTAAATGTAGCAAAGTATTCCTCAAGGTTATGACGAATAGCTGTCATTTTGGTTATGCAGGTACACGCATTGTGCCATACCAAACCAACCCAAACTTAACAACCCAAACCAACCGACCCCGCCCCATTGGGCCCCTCCCGCCCCATTGTCACAATCCAGCCTGGGCAGAGTGTAAAATGCCCCATATAAAATTTTTTAATAAATAATGTATTGCTCAACAATAGTCATTAATTTTTTAATGATTAATGTATTCAAACTACATTACCATTAAAAAAATGCTGGCTGCATTATTTTTTACATTAGCATTTTGCAACTCTGTTAGCAAGATAACTTTGGCCTATTTATATTTTTTGGAGTTCTAGGAGATTGATGGCAATTTAAAGGGAATTTAAGGATGTTTAAAAATTTTACTTACATTTGCACGTTGAAGTCTTCCGCAGGATCTCCGCCGCACTCGTTGAAAATCGCCTCGCAGCAGTGGTAATATTTGTCGACGAAACCAGGCACCCTGAAAACCATCTGCATGACGCTGTTGAGGTAGCACGAGTTGCCCATGTTGACCATGCCGGTGTATCCGGGCCCGTAGATGGGCTTCAGCGCCCCGCCGCTCTCCTGCATGGCCGCCCACTCGCTGGACTTCCGGTTCAGCTCGAGCTCCAGCTCCAGCATCGACTTCTCCGTCTTCTCCATGTTGCGCATGCTGATGCCCCAGTGCGCCAGGTGCTGCACCAGCTGCGGGTCCTCCACCATCTCGTCCTCCTCGTAGCTGAACACGTCGCCTTTGCCCTCCTTCGTGATCGTGCCGAGCTTCACCGCCAGAGGGCGCTTGGTGGCGGCGTAGTGCTCGATGGCGTGGTTGTTGCCGCCGGAGCCGTCGAAGAACTTCCGGCCGCACAGGATCGAGCCGTCGGTGAGATTGAGCCAGAGGTTCTCGGTTTTGTCGCACTTCTCGCACTTCCAACCGGAAGGAGGGATTTTCACTCCGTTGTCGAGTTGCGGCAGGTTTTTCGCGTGCTTCGAGACCGCGCGGGTTTCCCCGTCCCACGTTCCGCTCAGCGCCTCCAGCTCCGCTAATTTACTGGCGGACGGGAGGTCCAAGATGGCCTGCGCCGATTGCCTCACCTAAAAGTGGGCAATGTTAAATTTGATCCGTAATTCAGAACGCCATTTTCACAAAAACCTGCATTGGAAGTTTTTTTATACAATTAATAATATTAATAATAAACGTCTTTATTTTATTAAAGGCACCAGTAATTTCCACTGTACCAGTAGTTACCATTTATTATTTAGAAATTCAAAAACAAAGTTATATGCAATATCTGTGCATATGGCGCACTGCCTATGTGTAAGGAAGTGTATCTAGCGTATTATGTATTTAGAACAACTGTCACCAGGTGGCGCATTTTTCGACAGGAAAAAAATATTCAGGCAACTTGTTGAATCAGCTGTTTATAAAAGATTTCTTGTGACTTTGGTTAAGAAAGTGTAAGATTTGTTTATCGTGATATTGGCATATATTGTTAATCAATTTGAGTTTTGTTTGTGCAATAGGCATATATGCTAAGTAGTTTAAATGAAACGCATATAAATTGTTCGTTAAATTAAAAGAGTATTTTGATTTAAAGTAGTGGCAATTACTGGAGCATTTTTTTTATTTTAACCCAATATTTGCCATTTGTGGTAATTACCTACTGGAGAAGCTTTTGGATTATCGTATTATGACCTTTATTAAAGCTTTTGGATTATCGTATTATGACCTTTATTAAAGCTCTAAACTAACCTATAATATTTAGTTTATCCTTGACATTAATAAGAACATTATATTCAAAGAGAATCCAGTAATTTCCACCTCTTTTTGAATGTGTCAATTACTGGTTCACTTTAGTGGCAATTATTGATCAATGGATCGATCCAGGTATAAAATCCAAATTGATCAAAATTGAACCAAAAAACAAGCCCTTTTTTCGCTATTCCCAAGAAAGTAAAGAATCTGCATTGGCTGCTTGCCAAGGTGGTATGCCATTTTCCATTTTTTTTGTTCTATTTAATAAAATAAATTAGTGGCAATTACTGGCCAGGTACACTGGCAACTACTGTTTTTTTTTTAAATGGTCATGGCAATTACTAGTCCTCTATACCTCAATAAAAAAAATAAATATTGTACTTAGTTATGTCTTTAATTTTTAATGTTTGGTAATATAGTGACCTTCTATAAGTATCTATTAACCACCATGGCTTTTTATTAGGACGAAATCTAAATTTCTTCTGGTACTTTTTTAGCTTTTTTGTGTAAACACTAGCTTATAATGGCAATTACTGGTGTCATTACCCTACATCCCTTTTAATAGTTTTTAAATATTTATAGGACTCTGCTGTACACATTTTTGGCCAATATTTCAGAATAAGTTAAAATGGACTTATCGGCCTTTGCTTGTTTGCCCTACAAATGGCGAAATTTGACTTGTAAGATGGTATAACCATTAATAATAAAATAAATATACAATATCAAATGGAGCAATTTTACTTGTAACATTAATTGTAACAACTCATTTTTATATTTAACCATTTATCTAACACAAACCAAATTAGTTTAACCTTTAATTGTTATAAACTGTTTTAATCATGCTCTATAGTATTCAATTTTAGTTTTAAAATACAAGGTGTTATGTAATTAATGTAATATATTAAAATGGGTCCATCACCTAAAACTTTTTTTTCTAAATTTTAAAGGCTAAAAATAATTTATAATAATTCTGTGGGTAAAAGGCATAAGGGGATAAGTCAAAAAAGCAATTTTTCAGTAGAGACTTAAACGTGTTCGCATTCATTCAGGAAATATATTTATGTTTAGCTGGTATACGCTTTTGTTAGCATATGACATGCGCTAACAAAAGGGTATACCCGCTAACCATAAATATGTTTCCTGAATTAATGCGAATACGTTTAAGGCTCTACTGAAAAATTGCTTTTTTTGACTTATCCCCTTATGCCTTTTACCCACAGAATTGTTCCTACCAAAAAGTACAGCACTGATCGACTAGAAACTACTCTGGTTGCCTAATTTAATTTATTATGTTATGGTTGGTATACCAAGCAGCTTTTCCAGCATCTGTAAAAAAAGTTGCCAGATTTTGTTTAAATTTAGCTTAATTACAAAAATGACAAAATCAACAATGCCATGTCATTTATGTAATGAAGGTAAATTCAAATTTTAGGTTGTGCTCAAATTGTAAATATCTTAACTAAGGGAAGTGCTTCTGGATTTATTTACACAAATTGAACGTTTAAAGTTTAACCTGTGAACTTGTCCTAGTTTCATCTGAGTAAACAGAAAGAAGAAAACCGATGAAAAAATTAATTTTGTGGTTATGGAGTTTTTAAAATAGGTACTAAATATTCTAATCATTGCTTAAGCTAATAGCTGGATGAGTAAATAAATACAGAAGGGTATTAAAGCTTTAAAGGCATAAAACTTTTGTATTTATTGAGTTTTTATTTATTTTTTGCAAACAAAATTTTTAGTAACAATTTTTTACAACTGGCTACTTTGTTGGTTGGTATCTATGTACTCACAGAACACAGGTCTGTAACCAGTGGCATATCACAAAAAATATAAAAAACTTCGAATGCATATTTTTTCTGTATCTTTGGGAAAATATTTTTTTTAAATATTTTTCCTTTACACCTTATGTCAAAAGGTATTCAGTATTTTAATATATTACATTAATTACATAACCTAAACTATAAATACCTAGTTTTTTTGAAAAATTTCCCAATTTACACTCTTAAATTTTGCATCACTCTCAAAGAATTGTTTATTATTTTTGATACATACATGTTCTACAGTTTTTTCATAAAATTTATAGATCAAGTCTACTAGACTTACTGTTGCAAGTGATATGCAAAAATTTTGTTTTAAAACTTTCAATAGCCATGTTTTAATATTTTAGTTTTTTGCACCTAAATACACTTTAAATGTATTATATTCCTGTTTAAAAAATTGGAATTAAAAATTAAAAACGACGATATTTGGTAATAAAAAATTCTTAAAAACACCCTTGTCTTAGTGTTGTATATAAGTTTTTTTAAACAATACAATTTGAGTCATTTCCAGCAAAAATAAACAATTTTTTCAAAAAAAAAGGCGCGATGGAACATTTCCCAAAATAATTAAAATATAATTTTTTTTAAATGATTTTTCTCCAATTTTAGCAATCATGCTTTTGCTTTTAAAACAGAAAACTGTTTACAACTTGTAAATTACAAGAAATTAGAAAAAAATCAAAATTACAAAAAAAAATATATATAAATCAAAATATTTATAAAATATGATTTCAAAATGCAGGTTTTAGTGAGAAAACCCCAAACACACTTACTATTTCTGGTAAATCTGCATTGGGCCACAATATGTTGGTAAAACTGGGCAATACGACAACATTATAAATATCAGTATATTTAAATTTTTTTGCAGTCTCATCTGTAAATCCCCCTTCAACTCCAATTGCAAGACGGGTGATTTTCTTCTCGGGACCATCTCCCTGTGGTGGTGAGGAAACCTATTAATTTAAACTGAATATAAACAACAATTCCCCAACAAAAAATCAATAAGTTTCATTCCATTGATTAAATATATTATCAGTAATTGTTAGTCATACTTTGGAATGAAAGAAAAAATAAGTAATGATTCATTTTCATGAAAACATTAAGATATTTAATATGATTTAACATAGTAATCAACCTGTCTTGTGGAACGTAGATCAGTTAAATTTTTGGGCGTTTTTAATGTTAATGTAACGTTAATAAACAATAAATTAACATAAAAAACAAACCTCCTCTTTCAACCTCCTCAAGTGCAAATAAACCGCCTGTCCGGTTTTGTGAAAGTGTTTCTCCACGAAATCCTTCCCCAAGCCCATAAAATTCGTCAAACTGACGTACAATCCCGTTTCGGTCTCCTAAAAATAGAAAAATCATCACAAACTTAACCTCACTTTTCGCGCAAAACACTCGTACCGGATTGTCGAACGAATAAACGCACTCATCTTTGTAGACTTTGTTGTTTTGCGTCGGGATTCTGATGTTTCCCAAGTGTGGCTGCAACAATTCCATCACAAAAAATTTTTAAACGGATTTACAAATTGACATTAACAAAGAGTAAAATGACAGCGATTGGCAGAAAACTGAAATGCCGGTTCTCCGAAATGACAGTTCCGCCTGGAGCTAGACAACCCAGCTTACACGGTTGGTATACTAAGTTTAATACAAACGCGCAAATTTGAATATTAAATAAATACATATTTGAAATATTATATTTCTTATTTATATTTAATTTATAATAGTTCAGGGCCTTTTCACATTTTACATTTACCCTATTGAACATATCTATAATATTCGTATGAACAAAAGTTAATGGATCGTAAAGAATATCGTGATTCGGATCAAATAATGACAATGGTAATGTTAGTGTTGTGTTAAAGGCCGGATGTTAAAATATTTTATTCGAATTTCAGAAGGTTTATCTTTATATTGTGTTTTTATTGTCATAAAAAATATCTCATTATTTATTAAAAATGGTAAAAACAAAATGAGTGGTATAGGAACCGCTATTGGCTTAGCTTTGGCCACTACTACTGCTGTACTTTTAGTAATAAGTAAGTTGTAACGTTTTGTTAAGTTTTTTTTATTTTTGATTTTTTTTAGCTATAAATCAAGCAAAAGACGACGTTAAAAAGAATTTAACGGATACATATAGAAACCCTAAAGGTCCTGATGTACAATTTATGTTATTTTTAAGGTACCTACATACCTAAAACCGTTATTTTTTTTAAATCATAAATTTATTTCAGAAATAACACTGTGCAGAATTTGATCATTGGGGATAGTGATGGTTTAAATAACTCTGGATTTAATACTAGTTATCCAACAAAAATTATAACGCACGGTTTTAAAAGCAGTATTGAAGAAGAGGTCTTTCAAATAATTAAAAATGGTTAATAAACAAAAAAAAAAACAAAAATACAAAAATCATTATTTTTATTTTCAATCGGTCTATAACTTAAACTGTTAATAAAGTGATAAATTATGGATGAGGCACTTAAAAATTATTTGGACCAATTGTTTTAGGCCATACATAATGGTTCATTATTTAGAACTGTCAGATCTATCTAACTTCACTTTCCACTTTTATTAATTGCAACTTTTATCGTTTAAGAAATTAAATTGTGCTTTGAAGATAAAATGACTTACTACTGGGCCTGATGACTTAAATAAACTATTATTGCAGCATACTTGGAAACAGGTGAATACAACAACATCATAGGCATGGATTGGTCTGTTCTTTGCGAAGTCGAATATTTATCAGCCATAAAAGGTGTCGAAATCGCTGGTAAAACGCTGTCAAATTTCCTCAACTGGCTGTCAAACAACGGCGTTGCCCTTGACGACGTGCATCTGATTGGTCACAGTTTGGGTGCGCACGTGATGGGCGTGGCCGGCGATAGAGTCATAAGAGGAAAAGTAGGCCGAATTACAGGTGAGAAATCTACCTTAAATTAATTAAGGTTTTTTATTTTGATGTCTTTTTAGGTTTGGACCCTGCCGGTCCAGGTTATAACGATATTAGATCGGATTTAAAGTTGGATCCTCAAGATGGTAAATTGGTGGAGGTTGTTCATACCTACATGAAAGTGTTGAGTCTGGATCACCCATTGGGTCATGTTGATTTTTATCCGAATGGGGGCAGATTTCAACCGGGTTGTCCCGATATTTACGAAATAAGTACGTATATAATTTTTTCTACTTCCACCTTTAAAACGCCCTTTATTGTACATGTTTCCATGACACTAAGTGACCTTTTAAATACACATTGACAAGTTGTGGCTTTACAGCGCTTTAGTCACGGACTGAAGTTAGCAACAGGTTTTTAGTCACGGGCTGAAGTTAGTTTTAAGTTAGTTGACAGTTGTCAAATGTCATACAATCGTTAAAATAATGTGCCTTTCTTGTAAAATAATGTTAAATGTGAAAATTATTTTATTATCTCCATACAAAAATACAAAAATATTAAATAGTTTCTCAACGCCAATATTTAAAAAGTTTATATAAACATTGTACTGACCTTTTAATTTCGCCGGCAGTAAACTATAGTAAACTATATATAACTTAAATTCGGGCAAGGACTTCACTGTAAAGTGCTCATAAAGCATTTTCTTTACTTTCACTGCGAAAAACTCAATTTTCAAGAAATACATTTCGATTTATAACCTTTATAATCTGTGTTTATAAAATTTGACATTTGACGGTGACACACAGATTTCCCTATTGTTTCATAGATGGCGCTCTATACAAATTTTTGATTTAAATCATTTTAAGATAATAATAAGTATTTGTCGTAGAAAAAGTATAGTATATATGCACATGCATATGCACATCGTTTATAAAGTTTTCTATACAATCATTAATTTAAGCACTCGCTCGCAAGCTCGCTCGTGCCTAAATTAAATTCGTGTATAAAATGGCGTTTATCAAACTTGATACATAATATACTATTATTTTCACTGTTACTTTATTATTATAATTATAACAACACATTTGTTTTAGTGCTAATAGCAGAGAGTATATTTTGTAACCATGGCAGGGCCTATAGGCTCTTTGCTGAATCTATAAGAAACAACAAAAGCTTCAAAAGTAAAAAATGCAATTCTGTAGAGGACGCCCTGTATAGCAGATGTTTTGAGGATACTGAAGTTTACATGGGGCATCCAGAAACATACAAGTAAGTAAAAATTTCAGGGTTTTTGGTAGTTTTTGTGAAAATTGTATAATGCTTAAGGCTGTAAGACGGGTTGCCTACATATTATACAAAAATTAATTTTGTTTTTCAAGTCCAAACTTCGTTTTAAGTTTTTTTTTTAAAACGTATAAAAATAATATAATATTTTTGTAGGGTTGGTTTATACTTTTTCCAAACAGCTCCCAGGGAACCTTATTCGTTGAGCTAAATAAAACACCTGTTATTAACCTCTTGGTATATTTTAAATTTAGTTACAAATAATGTATACATTTTATATGCTACAAATTAAAATATACACATATATTTTTAAGTAAAACAATAAAATTTATAATAGAGAAACAAAATAAATCAACAAATGTATTCAACATAAATAAATATATTCTTATTAGCATAACACGTATTGACTTAATTTCTAAATTGATATACACAGATTGTCAAGTGGCCTAAAACAACTTAAAAAAAAAAAAAATTTGGATGAAATGTGCAGTTTGTTTTTTTTTGTTCGGAATTTGACGTCAAACATTTTGGGTTTAGTTGGCTAATTCTAGGGACCCTAAATTTATAATTGGCTACATTGAGAGGTTCAACCAAGTGGTTTAGTTATTAAAAAATGAAATTTGTTGAAATATAGGTGACTTTATGGCACAAAAGAGGCAAATTCGCAGTCCCAGTGTACAAATATAGGTATGTATATTTTAATTCTGAGTTAAATGACAAATGTCGAAGTATTTAAAATTAAGGGCTTGAACGGAGTAGGTATTATCTAGGTAGGTATTATCTTTGGGTATCAATTTTAAATGTTAAAAATACCAATCCAATATCAACATAATCAAATATTTGATCACATACATATGTGTCAAATTCAGAATAAAAAAAACAAACTTTATGTAGGTAGGTAAAAGTAAAATTGTATGAAATTGGTTCCTTCAAATTCGGATTTTATTATTAATTAATGAAAAAAATAACAAAAATTGACACAAATATATTTGCCCTTAACATCCCAATAAGTCGTAAAAAAGATTTGCTATAAGAATATAATACCAATCTATAATAGATGAAAGTTAATTATTATTACAATTATTTAAAAGACTTGATCGGCAGTCAGTCACGTGATCCGATTCAATACTGAAGATTACCTAAATAAAATATAAGGGTCGTACCACCACCGATCGGTGTTACATGTTATTTTGATGCTGGGGCGGATCGACCCCGTAATTTATAATTATTTACAACCACGTTAAGAACGCTATACATAATAAGTATATTTGGAAGAATTAGCTTTGCGCAGTCCTATCAATGCTGGCCCTTGGTGTTCAAAGTTTGATAAAAAATCAAGAAATGGTAAGATATGCTTTGTTATATTATATTAAATGATTTTGATTTGATTATGAGAAAATGATAAACATTTAGGTATTATAAAATTATTATTTTCAGCTTATTAGCAAGTATAGGTATATATAAGTTAAAATAATTTCAGAAATGTTGTTGGACCTTACTTAAGATAGTCTGCGGTTGTAGACAATACAAGCAACACACGCATATTTTTTTCAAATCTGTAGGTAATTATAAAATAAAAAATTTAGTTCGGTTTTTTATTTTATTATTACACAAGACAAAGTACCTACCTAAGTATATCTTTTTATTGGAGACACGTAAGGTATTTTTATACTTTTATAATAATTTTTTGGCCCATTAAATGTACAAGAAATTTCGCACGCTAAAGTATACAGGGTCTCCCAAAATTGGCGGCCTGAAGAGCATTATCGTTTGTAATCACGGTTGCCTACCTACTTTCGAATAAATTTGTCTGATATTGCGCTGTATTAACGGTTGCCTACCTACTCCTGCCTGGGTGGCCAATTTTGGACTCGATGACAATATAAGGCTTCTCCAAGTAGCGTGTGTGAAAATTTAAAAGAGTATTTACAAAAATAAGTATGAAACGTTTTTATCTTGTCCTGTGAACAGTGTAATTTTGGAAATTGACGGAAATGTGAAAATGTCGTCTTTTCGTAAAACTAATATTTTTTTATGGCGTGTCTCTTACAATACAAAAAGTGTGTTGTTTACAATTGAATGCGCGTGTTTAGGAGATAATGCAGGAGTTTCTTTTTCCTTGTCGGTCTCTGATCTGCTGCAGGTGCTGGAGTTGAACCTGATTGGGGATCATAGCGTGCGACGGTGTAGACGGCGGCGGCCCCGAATGCGAGGGCAGCGATTGCCGACGTCGGCGGCGCAGGGCCGGCGACAAGTTGTATTTTACCTGGAATCAAACAAACACATTGGTATATTTTTAACGAGGAGTCACCCACACCTGGGAATCCCTGGATATTTTAGAGGGGGAATACCATAGGAATACAATGGAAATACATAGGAATACTGTATTCCTATTCCGAATACAATAAAATATAATGGGAATACATGGGAATCCCTGGAAGTTTTCCCTTTGGGTGGTTGACCCCACGATTTTTAACCTAAAAAAATGTTGCCGATCTTATCTGATTTTAGTTGCAGCCCTGCTTTATCTTTATAAAACGCATATGTTCTGTGATAAAACCTATAGATGCTCACCAAATTAAATAAATGTGAGGGGACTGTTTTAAGATTTGTACATAAATAATAATTTACAACTCTGTTAACTCTTCTATACTAAGTTGAAGTAAGTCTATATTTTTTTAAATTATTTCTTTTATCACACAAAACTCACAACCTATAGGTTTATATATGAAGCTGTATTGAGACTAATTTTTCTGTGCAGGTTACAATGAAAACTGCAAAACCATCACTTTTCTAACGAGTTTATTAATTAAAGTTAATTTACCAGCGAGTTAAAATATATTTGCTAAAATATAACTTGTTGGTTAAAAAAATATATCCAAATTAACCAAAGCTGTGGTTAATTTACCAAAAAGTAATTACTATATTAATATCAAAAGTTAAACCGAACCAAAATATGTCTAAAAAAATAATAATAAAAATAACTTTTTAAAGGTTAAAATTAGAAGTTAATATAACGTTATGTAACTACTGAAATAATCTACTAATAATACTAACTAGTTAAATATTTTGTTTATTTATAGTCAATTTAAACTCTTGAAATAACCTTAATTTGTCTATAGGTTTCTTTTATTAATTAGTTAAATTATACTAAAAAATAATTTTAATGGTTGAGTACAACTAATTGGTTAAAAAACAAGTTAAAAAGATGTTTACTTAGATTTTGAATGGGGTACCCTGTGTATCCCGGCGCATCCGCCATTTTTGCAAAAAATTAGTTTAAATATATTTAATTTAAAAAAATATAGTTTACATACATATTCGAAAATAAATCCTAAAAAACAAAACAAAATTGTCCAAAACCATAAACCATGAAAAAGCTTTTTGGAAGCACAATAAAACTTAAAATAAAATAAAAATAAATACCATAAAATAACCTATAAAATCGAAAATTTAAAATTCAAAGGGCAATAAAACAGATCTTTTATAAAATATTAAAATCGAATAAAAAAAACAAATAAAATTTTAAAACATTATTTTACTTATATACTACCTTTAAAAACGGCCATTAAATTTTCTATTTAGTGCATTTTAAAATATCATGTCAAATATTTCATTAAAAAAATTACGATTAAAAATATTAATAACAACAATTTTATTCCAATTTTTTTAAACGCATAAAAACGGTATTCGATTATGAAAAAATAATTATCCAGGCGCATCCGCCATTTTTGTAAAAATGTTAATATTTATTTTAAAATATAATTTTTTAAAAAATACAGTTAACATAGATTCGAAAATAAATTCTAACAAACAAAACAAAATTGTCAAAAACCATAAAACAATAAAAAACCTTTTGGAAGCACAATAAAACTTAAAATAAAATAAAAATAAATACCATAAAATAACCTATGAAATCTAATTTAAAATTCAATGGGAAATAAAACAGATATTTCATAGAATATTAAAATCGAATAAAAAACCAATAAAATTTTAAAACATCATTTTATAATACTTTTAAAAATGGCCATTAAATTTTGTATTTAGTGCATTTTAAAATATTATATCAAATATTTAATTAAAAAAATTACGATTAAAAATATTAATAACAACAATTTTGTTTACAATTTTTTTAAACGCATAAAAATGGTATTGGTTTCTGAAAAAATAATTATCCCGGCGCATCCGCCATTTTTGTAAAAATGTTAATATTTATTTTAAAATATAATTTTTTAAAAAATACAGTTAACATAGATTCGAAAATAAATTCTAACAAACAAAACAAAATTGTCAAAAACCAATGCATTAAACAATAAAAAGCCTTTTGGAAGCACAATAAAACTTAAAATAAAATAAAAATAAATAAATACCATAAAATTAAGTATAAAATCGAAAAATTAAAATTCAAAGGGCAATAAAACAGATCTTTCATAAAATATAAAAATCGAATAAAAAAAACAAATAAAATTATAAAACATCATTTTATAATACTTTTAAAAATGGCCATTAAATTTTGTATTTAGTGCATTTTTTTTTTAATGCTGAAGAGCTTAATCATTTCTTTGTTAATTCAGTCAAAAGTACTACAATTCCACAAAATACATTGGACTTTTATAATAGCAATGTTAGCACCAATATTGTTAATGGATTTAGTTTCTCCCAGGTTCTCGAGGAGGATGTCTTGAAAGTTTTTAAAACATTGACATCTAATGCACAGGGAATTGATAATTTAAACCTAAAAATGTTTAAAATCATATTACCATATTGCCTTACACACTTAACGTATATTATAAATCTCTCATTTGAAACTGGTATAGTCCCGGAGTTATGAAAACAGCAAAATTCATACCAATACCTAAATTAAATAAACCGACTGAACCTGCTGACTTTAGGCCGATAAGTATTCTACCCATCGCATCAAAAATATTGGAAAAAATTGTACAAAATCAAATAATAAATTATTCGGAAATAAATATTTTACCTTCTATTCAGTCAGGTTTCAGACGTAATTGCAGTACAAATACAGCATTATTAAACATCACTAACGACATCACTAGGGCAACAGACATCTCCCAAGTAACATTACTGGTTTTATTAGACTATAGTAAAACTTTTGATGTTATAAATCATGAACTCCTACTAGCCAAACTTAAATATTATTGTTTTGACACATCTGTCATAAACTGGGTTTCAAATTACTTGGCCAATCGCAAGCAATGCGTTGAACTGAACAATCACTTTTCAACATTGTCGTGCGTTACCAAAGGAGTTCCCCAAGGAAGCATTCTTGGGCCGCTACTTTTTACGATATTTACATCGGACCTTTGTAAAATTGTATCATCCAGCACCATTCATCAGCATGCTGATGATACTCAGCTATACATCTCATGCCCCCCAACAGGCATCAACTCAGCAATCCGAGACATCAATGAAGACCTTGTGAGTGTTAGTGAGTGGTCTAAGTGTAACGGCTTATTTTTAAATCCTAAAAAGTCAGTGGCTATATGCATCGGTATGAATATACTGCAATCTAAAGCACTAAGTTATAAAACCTGTGATATTATGTTAAATGAGTCTGTGATAAAATTTGAAGACTATGTAAAAAATTTAGGAGTTTTAATGGATAAAAATCTTTTATTTGATAAACATATTTGTCAACTTATAAAAAATGCTTACATTAAACTCAAGTCAATATATAGTTTTAAATATCTTTTAAATAATAATGTTAAATGGAACTTGTCAAAAACCCTAATTTTAAGTCCTATAAATTACTGTTCTTCAGTTTACTATTTTTACACTAGTTTATATTATCAAGAACGACTTCAAAAACTTCCAAATTCTTGTTTAAGATATTCTTTTAATGTTAATTATCGTGAACATGTTACACCTGTTTATGTTACTAAACAAATTCTCAAATGCAATTCTATGTTTTTGTTACAATATGCTAGTCTTGTCTTTAATGTTTTAAAATATAAAAATCCACATTACCTATACATATTGTTAAGAAGACTTTCTTATTACCACAACTTAAATACTAGAAATAAAAACCATTATTCTATTCAAATACACAAAACTTCTAAATATGAATGTTGTTTTGAATATTTGGCACCAACAATAGTAAATAGATTTTTTGAAATATTTAATTTAAATAACAATATTGTAACTTTTAAGCAATCTCTTAAATGTTTTTTGTTAAACCATAACAATTTATAAATAATTTGTTTTATATATATAAATCTCTATTTTTAATGTATCCGGGTTTGAGTGGAAGAACAGCATGCTGCTGAACTCACACCATTTGTAAAATGTACCTTTTTAGTTTTACAATAAAGTTTATTATTATTATTATTATTAAAATATCATGTCAAATATTTCATTGAAAAAATTAAGATTAAAAATATTAATAACAACAATTTTGTTTCAAATTTTTTTAAACACATAAAAATGGTATTGGCTTCTGAAAAAATAATTATCCTGGCGCATGCGCCATTTTTGTAAAAATATTGTGTTTTGAAATAAAATGTTCATTATCATAATACTCAGGTATACATAAAGTGACCAGATTCTATCAAAAAATAGAGGGACATTTTTTTTATCGATTTACCTTAATTACAAAATTGACACAATCATACAATGCAAATTGTAAATTTGACGTTACTTAATTATTGTTGATTGTGTCATTTTTGTAATTAAGGTTAATTTTTTGATTAATTAACTGTTTTGTAAACAATATTACTGATTAAAAATAGCAGTAAGTGACTTATAAAAATATGACAAGCCAAACATTTTAAAAATGTAAATGTTATACAAACAGTATTTAGCTCATTGGAGACAAATAAGTTATAAAATTTATTTTATGAAATATTTTAATAACAAAATATAAGAAAGTTTTTAACTTTTCAAGTTAGCCAAATCTGCCCTGGTTTTTCTCAGGTAATTTGTTAAAAAATGTTAAAGAAATGACAAAGAATATTTTAAACAATGTTTTAAGATTCCAAAAAATCTACCCCCTTATTCGCAAACCTAACAACAAAAAAGTTATAGGCTATTTTTGATTGACGCGCATTTTAACGAAAAAAATTAATATCTCGAAAACTATTCACTTTAGGACATGTAATAATAGTAATTAGTAGTAATTTTACTGAGAATTTTATGTGGAATTTAAAAATGTTAAAATATATGGGGTGTTCTATTTGAAATAACAAAGTTGATTATTATTAAAATAACCGACTTTGTAGCTTCAAACGTTAGAATGTTAGCAATAATTGTTTATTTATTAAAATTCTGTGTAAAATAAAGTTAAAGACATGAGTTTCATTCAATTTAATTATTCCAAAACGGAGCACAAAGCATTGTAAAAATTGTAATTTAAAATGATACTGCCAGCAACAAATGAAAGTAAATTAAAAAAAGTAATCTTGAAAAAGCCAGAAGCCTATATAAGCAAACAGAATCAGGCAGGTATTTAGAAGGCGAAATTAATAACAAGGCAGGGGAGTGAATCGTAGCGTAAAATTTGACATTTAATACACGTTATGTGCGTTATACGAGCAGATTTTATCATAAGAATGTGCGCACGTAATAGTCGTTTATATTCATGATTCCCAATTACCCAAGACACAGACGTTTTACTAATGGGTTTGATATCACTGGTCTGTAGCCAAAACGTACATTTGTAAACCAGTTAAATTAAAAAAACTCAAATTATGTCTAATTTAACTAATCTAAAAAAATGTCCACTAAATTTAAATTTTGTGAAGCTGAAACAATTGATAAAATAATCAATAAATTATCCGAACAAATTCAATATCATCCTAAAGTTTTAAAGCACGGCGACAACTTCAAAGTTAATTTAAAAGTTTTAAAACCGTTTTATATTCTTGCTAGATTATTAAAATTAGTTTTCCAGACATGTTATTTGGTTTAGTTTTAAAAATCTTTTTTGTTAAGCAAATTTGGTACAAGTTTATAAAATATATATATACATATTAGGGTGTTTCAAAAAATAAAATTTAATTTGTTTGTCGCTTTTACCCTCTCAAATGTTTCTATTTAATATAAAAAAATCCTCACCAAATATGGGCGTTCCAGCTCAACTCTAAGAGGTCGCTGTTTTTATTTTAGCTTCCCATGGGCCCATTTAATTCAAATGGGAAAAAATAATTTTATGTTTGGAATTTTATACCTCTGTATCAAAGTAACTTATGGCATGATCATTGCAGTTTCTTATATAAAATGTAACGCTCTACAAAAAAGCTCTCTTTTTATTTTTTGATAAATTGATTTCTTCTAGAGTTATTCCAGACTGAACGTAAGTATGGCTTCAAGAGTTGTTTCCTTACATAACTTTCTAAATTGATCCCAAAACAATATCTAATGGTATTTTTAACAAAATTTACACTGTCAAAACTTTACCTTACTTTAATCATTTCAAAGAATTTAAAACCCGGCTCTAAAAAGCGACTTTTAACCTAATTAAGTTAAAACACTTTGAGTTACCATCAAAAGTCTTACCTTTGCTTGTGCTAAGAGTTCTTTAAAAACTTTGCTGACGTTTGTGTTTTCTTTTGCGGACGCCTCCACGAAACCATTCTCCCAGTCCACAGTTACGACGGATTCCGTTGTGGCTGTATCAACCTTCAAAAAGAAAACAAAATTAACTTAGCCATTGTTATTCAGCGATTTTCGCATTATCTCATTTTTTTTTTAAATTTGCTTATGTTTTTCAAAGGAACAATTTAATTTTCCCACCGGGCGTTTTCATTAGATTACCTCTGAACTTTGCGTGCGTTACTTAACTGCGGGTAAATTTTTTATTTGAAAGTTTGAAATTAAAGGCTTGCCACACAACAAACCCAAATAAATTACTTTTATTTAACTCTTGCACTGTTAAAGACAAATATTTTACAGAAAGTTTATAGTACTATTAGGGTTGGGAATTTCAACTTTGAAAGTTTCAAACTTGAAATATTTCATTTAGTTGGAAAAGTGAAATTTTTAAAAATTTAAATGATATTTTCAATTTAAAAATTTCAACATTGCCTGTGAAACTTTCAGAAATTTCATTGAAAGTTTTGCAATTTACTGAATATTTCGCATAAATTTCACATGCGGCCTCCCCTGGGACCTTTAATAATAATTTACAACAGATTCCGAATCGACCAATAAGAACGAGTTATCAAGCGTCTCACAGTGCGTCGAGTATATGCAGATGGGAATCAAAAATAATATCTTATTAATTAAATGTTTTTTTTATTATTTTTGACTATTAAAATATTAATATAAATAAATACTGTACAAGCAAATAACATTTTCTCTAAAAAATCTACAGGGCGATAGAAAAATGCATGTTTTAATTTACTCATATATTAAGGTTTATTAAAAAATGGTTTTATTAATAAAAAATGGTTCAAATAAAAAATATTTTTTTTTAATTTTATGAAAAAATGTTTTTAAAAATAAACTAAGTAGTATACAGTGTGAAACAAAACATAATAATTGCCTTTGAAATGAACGGAAACAAATAGAACAGAATGTCATTGACAATTTAATATTTAGTATGACACGAAGGTGCAGAGCAGTTATTAACAATCTAGGAGGACACACCCTCCATTGATAAAGTCAAAAAACTTTATTTATTGACCAGATGAAAGTTCATTAATCGAGATATTAGTGGGACTCTCGGAAATAATCCAGGATATAATAGATTTATTGTTCTACTTAGGATAATGTATTTATTCTCTGAAAAGTACAGATATAAATAAAGGGCTAACGCTTGTTGCACAGACAAACATTTTTTATGACTTGTTGAAGGTTTTGTTTGCGGAAATTTTTGCAGCAAAGTTAACTTCAGCTGGACTCCAGTTTTTAAGTAAATCTTTTATTCTCCTCTTTTTGGTTTGAGTGGTACCGTCCTCAAATTTTTTGTGTGGTCTACCTCGACTTGTTTTAGGAATAGAATTTTTGTTTTTAGTTATAAAGAGTTTAATATTTTCTGGAAAAGTAAACCTTTGCTTGAGCCAAACTTCATTCTTTTTGAGGAAGGTCGAACGCATTCTAGCACACTGTTTCCATTTATTTTTTACTGTGAGGCAAAAATATTTGGATGTTCTATTGATTTCTGCTTCGATAGTCTCTGGGCACTCATTTACATCTATATTTAACAAAAATTTTATTTTACTCGCAACTGCTTGGATCTTTTGTATTTTATTTGTTACCCATGCATCAAATATATCAGCATTAGTACCGGTAACCAAATATGCAAAAAAGTATATCATCAAGGTCTGCAAGATTCTGCAAAAAACTAATGCAGTAACAAGTAATAGAAGGATGGACCTTGTAATTAGTATAAAAAAACTACATATGGTTTTCAATGTAATTAGTAAAAATCTTCGTAAATAGTTAAGTTAAAGTTTTTAATGTAAATTTGCACCAATTTCTATTAAAATGTGATGTAAAAGGCCTTATTTATATATATGCTAAAAAATAGCCATTCATAAATAAGCACTTACCTTCAGAATCAACTTCCATCATAAAGTTTAACAAAACACTAATATTGGGTATAAATTGGAATTCATCAAACTACTAAACAATTTTCCTTAAATTTAACTAATCTTATTCCGTCTTTTCACAACCTTTAACTTTAATGCCTTGTATTTCAACGACAAATAACTTCGGCTAACTAAAATTGGTTATTGCCTATTTTTCATTTATAATTAATGACATGACAGTTATAAGAAATGATCCAAAGCCTACTTGTTTTTTTAATTTTTTACCACAGCTCGACGCACTGTGCGTCTGGGCGTTTTTGTCTAGTTAGGCTGTACGTAATTATTGTTACTTATATGCATAAATTAATTTAAATAATTTAATTCAGTTACCAATTTAATTTGTAAATTAAATCAGACTTAAATTTTTTTTTTAAAGTCATGATTAATTTAAACTTTTACTTTTGCTATAATTGCATCGAAAAACGGATAAAAAATGCCTTTGGCTCATAAATTTTTGATGAAGTTTCTTCAATTTTCGTAAAATTTCACAAATATATATAAAAATAATAAATACAGGGTGAATTTTAAGTTGACGCGTTCCTTTTAACAGCGTGTAGAAATCAGATAAAGAAATAAATATTTTAAGTAACTTTTTTATTAAAACTCAAAAATAAGAGAGTTATACGCCTTCCAAGTTTAATTAAATTTTGAGCCGGTCCTGGCTATTGTTAACAAAAAACATAACCATAAAAATAAAAATAACAAAATAAACAATGCAAAATGTCATCTATGACAACAAACATAACCATTTAAATCAAAATGACATTTAGCAATGACATATGTCATTATTTACTTAAGTTTTTTTGTGCCTCAATTATTGTTAAAAATGATTCATAATTATAGCAATAATGAATTAGTATAAATGTTACTAATTTATGGAGAGTGTCGTCAAAATGCAAATGCTGCAACTTAAGTAAATAATGACATTTTTTATTGCAAAATGTCAATTTGATTTAAATGGTTATGTTTGTTGTCAAATATGACATTTTGCATTGTTTATTTTGATATTTATATTTATGGTTATGTTTTTCGTTAACAATAGCCAGGACCGGTTTAAAATTTAATTAAACTTTGATGGGCTATAACTTTTTTATTTTTGAGTTTTGATAAAAAAGTTACTTAAAATATTTATTTGTCTAGCTGATTTCTACACACTGTTAAAAGGAACGCGTCAACTTAAAACTCACCCTGTATATATAAATATAAAACAATGAAAGTGGCACAATCTCATTACCTTACCAAAAAGTGCTATATCTCTCTTAGTTTTAGTAATTTTAAAAATATTTTAAAAGGAAATCTCAAGAAATTTGTAGTAAACATAGGTATTTACTATTTATATTATTGGTGGTCAGGGGCCCACAGAGGGGTAGGAGGTAAGAGAGGCAATTTGCCATGGTCCCCGAGTGGGCTTATTTCAATATAAAGTGATTGAAATTTATTGAAAGTTTCAGGAAATTTCAGAAATTTAGGAAATTTTAATAAATTTCATAAATGTCATGAAAATTTCAAGTGAAATTTCTAGTACAAGCAAAAAGTGATATTTTCCCAACCCTAAGTAGGTACTAATTCTGTAAGCTAAAGATAAAGTGAAGAGGGTTAAAGTTACGAAATACATCAGTAAGTGTTGTAGTTGTACTGATAATTATATTGTACCAAATTTTTTTATAATTTGATGATTTTAGAATGGTGTGTTATTTAATTGTGTGTATGTTATTTTTGTGTCGATTTATGTAGGTATGTATTAATTTTTTGGAAATTGATTATCAAAATTTATCAAAATTCTTTACATTTAAGTTCAAAATTTCCAACAAATACTTTTGTTACTAGGTCTACAAAAAGGTTTGGAAAAATAAGGTCCTTTTCGAAAATTACAAAAATTATGGTTGAATATTGATATAGGATTTTATTATTAAATCTAAAAAATTATTTCTACTACTTATTCAATTAGTTAACTGATTACAGTTGGTTGTAAACTTAACATAAAGTTATGTAGATTAACATAAAATCTGGTTAATTTTTGGTTAAAATTAACAAATATTTTTTACTGTCTACAAAGTTCCTTTGGTGAATTGTTTATAAAGGTGAAGGTATTTCTCTCTGGCTTTCCCAAAGCATGCAATAATAATTAGATTATTATAGTCAACGTTACGGCAAAGCTTACTGAATCTACAAATACTTTCATACACCTATGCGTGTAAATTCTCATTAATAATTTGCCGCTTATTCGTAATGATAAAAGGGCTGGCGACCGCAAAGGCTTTATGTCGGATTCGGATATAATCCGGGCTGTCGCACAGTTTTAAATTCGCATATTTTAGTTGGACAACAGTTAAGTTGTTTTTAATAGTTTTAATATCGGACATGGGCGTTTTTTAAAATTTCTTCAGTAGAGTATATCCCTAACTAATGGTTGTTAAAAATAAGAAAAAATCAAACCTACACCTCGTCAAAGTTTTTTGTTTTGAGTGCGTTCCACCAACTTCAAATATATAGGTCGAAACAGCTGTCTGTCGGTATTTGACGTTGGTGGAACGCATTCAAAACAAAAAACTTTGGCGAGGTGTAGGTACAATTTTTTCTTATGAATATTACCAGTAATGGGTCAAGAAAGTTTCTTAAAGAAACTAAGAAAATTGAAAATTTTAAAAAATCAGCTGAAATAGAAAAAGTTTGAATAAGTAGTTTGTATTGGTAACAAACATTTTGTAGATTTAATAACAAAATCTTATAAATAAAATATCTTTCTTTTTAAAATAATTACATACCATGGTTTTCTACAAAAAGTTATGTTAAAATTTTACAAAATAAAATTAACAAACAAAAACTCATGTTTGTAATTTTGTCAAAGTTCCCAAGAGAACAAAGTAAGTATTTTCTTTGGGGTGTAATGATTTTTTCACTAAAATTTTCTTCTTCAGCATTGTTCATGTCAGACTTCAGATTTGTTTGTCCCGCCAAATTCTTCGAATAGAAACTGTGGGACACCTGGGGGCGGCGTCTTCTGTAGCAGTGGCGGCTCAGGGGCCGTTAAGTTAGGGCCCCGGTGCGCAATGGAAATGCCGGGACACACATGGGCCCCGATGGCATCGATTTCCCATCACGAAGACAAATCTGAATTTGTTTCGTGAGATTATGACCGTTGCGAGGGCTTTCAATTGAAAACTATCCATCCTTAATAAGTTTTGAGTTATAGTAGATATGATCTTGCAAAAACAGAAAATTCAATATCGTGAGATTATGACCGTTGCGAGGGCTTTCAATTGAAAACTATCCATCCTTAATAAGTTTTGAGTTATAGTAGATATGATCTTGAGCAAAAACAGAAAATTCAATATCTTGTTTTTAAATGACCCCAAAATAAAAATCAAGTGTTAATCTGGAGCACCTCTTCTACCAATCGATTTCTCGGGAAATTTTGGTTCAACCTTAAAGCATAGTGACGAGGAACTTCATCTTGTTAAAAGTACAAATGTCCTTCATTAAGCAACATGTTTCCCAGTTCCTCCATCTGATTTTCTAATGACTGGAATTATAACATTTTCAAGAAGATCAAGATATAATTCTCCAGTCAAGTTTTCTTCGATATCAAGCAGTCCAAATATTTCGTTGCCAAGAATACCAGCGCATACATTGATTTTTTGAGGATACTGAGTATAATCCTCGAAAAAACATGAAACAAATATTTTTAAAACCTCAATTCACGAAACTGGATTCTTCTGGATAAATTAGATTTAATCACAAGTTGGAAGGAAGTTTTTATCAAAAATTGTAAATATTGTTTTAAGAAAAAGAGACACCAAATATAAGTTATTGTTTTTGATTTATGCAAATTAATATTTTGGTAACTCAATTAAATCATTTCTAGTTGCAGTATCAGGTCAGGTCATAGAAATCTTACCTCCCTAGTCCCAGTCAAGTCTATTTTATTTCCTACTAGGACGATGGGCACGTTGGTCGAGCACTTGGTCTCGTGGATCTGGTCTCTGATCATACGAACTTCTTCGAAGGTATTGGCATCGGTTACATCGTACACGAGGATGAAAGCGTCAGCTGATGAAATCGAGAGGGCTCGCATTGCTGGAAACTCGTACGCCCCTGCAAGAAAATATGATTATCTAAAGTAATAAGTCAAAGGATTTGGAATTTTTTGATAAACATGATGAAAAATGTAATTTATATTATTGGAACGCAAAAAAACCAAGGGGAGATAATTTCGGTGATCTCGCGGGCCATCCAAATGCATCTACCAGGTAATGCATAATGGGAAGGATTTTCTTCATGGTAAAGTAGCTCCATTTAAATTTCCCGGTAAGAAAAATGGTTCAATTATGTGATCACCAAGAACACCACCTCAAAAGTTTAATTTCTGAGGATGTTGAGTATGAATCTCATGGACATGACAATGCCATTAAGAAAAAATGAACATTCGTCTGAAAAGCAAACATTAAAAAGGTAAAAGGCGGTCATTATCATCTTAATGCAATTCTTGATGTTTCAGAATTCTCTGTACGGTGCACAGTGTTTCAATTCTCGAAAATATCGGCAAAACCTCAAAAATTTACATTTTTTTTTTCAGGTAAAGTTTGAGTTAGATGGGTAGTTAATACCTGTCTTCATGCTGTATTGAAAAAAATTTATATAAAATACGTATATTTTGTCTTGTACATCAGTTTAAACTTGACGCTTTCAGTTGAAGGTACTTTACACGCGATTGCTGCGGAAAATTGTTTATTGTTTAAAAGTGAATAACTTGTGTTTGGTGTGTCCGATTGTTATGCGGTTTAATAAAGGGTGATCTTCAAGATATGAAAAATTCAGATATGTATTTGTTTTTCGTAGATTTTGCTTGTACAACGGGTTATTGTAAACGACAAGATCGGTCTGTTAAAATCGCAAACTTTGAATCGAGCTTTTAGAAGAATGGAGCTACAAAAATTGTGATGAATTGTAAGGCATCAGTTCAAGATCCGTTGAATAGCTTAGAGTTTTGCCTATGAAGCCATCAATAAATAATCTGCCCCAACTCGCCCCCGGCTCTTTAAAACTACATGTTCTTGGGCGCTCAGGCACGGCTGTGGTAAAAAACCTCGCGATTTTAAGTTTCTGTGTCTTTGCTTTACAAAATATAAGATTTTTTTGTTATTTCTGGGTTGTGTTCATGACGTTTACTCAATTCACTCGGATTTAACTTAAAACGTTTATTACAACAGCGGTGTCTAGACTTTCACTTGCGTAAATCGTTCGTGATTACTAAGATATTTAACACCGATTTTACATATTTAACTCACCTCTTGTAGGTGCGTTAAAACCACTCCGCATGCGCATTGTGGTGTGTTAATGTCAAATTTGAATTGTGATTATTTATGTTGTGTTTATAAAAAGATGTTTTATTTACATTTTAAAAAGAACCTCTTACGGGTTTTTAATTAATTTCAACAATTTTTTGATAAAAATGTCCACCATTTTGAATTTTGGAATTCTGATTCCAGATTCATTATCAGCGACCCCAAAAACCCCTGTATGGTGATTTTTAATTTATTCCGTCAATTTTTTGACAAATATGTTCGCCATTTTGGATCTACCATTTTGAATTTTGGAATTCTGATTCCAGATTCGTTATCAGCGACCCCAAAAACCTCTATATACGGATTTTTAGGAGAATCCGACTACTCCTTGATATTTTGCCAAAAATTTCGAGAATTGAAACAATTTTTCCAACGAATTCTTTGCTTTACGGAATTTGTAAGTAAGCGGTCCAGTAAAATGTTCAGAATTCCATTGCTTAGCGACATTTTAAAATTAATTGAATGCCCTTTCCAAATATGTATCGCAACATATAAATTATTCTATGGAACAAATACCAGCCAAGCGTGAAAACATGTTAAAACATTGTGTATTATTGGGATATACTGAAACCGTCTTGTAAGTCGATTATTCTGTTCGTCTAGACACATTAAGGCTATGAGCAAACAATAATTCTGAAAATTGTTTCATTTCGCACAGCAGTGTCCGGAACACAACAGTTTGTTATCGTGCATAACATTGTATAAAACGTAAATAAGTGAAAACGACAGTCCATCTCGCTGCTGTATACATTGTTTGTTTCCTTATAAGTAAGGGATGTAAAATTGTGCATCGGGATAATTTCTTACCTGAAGTGTCCAAAATTAATAACATTGTAAAAACAACAGTCCATCTCGCTGCTGTATACATTGTTCGTTTCCTTATAAGTAAGGGATGTAAAATTGTACCTCGGGATAAATTCTTACCTGAAGTGTCCAAAATTTCCAAAATCAGATGCACCCCGGCGACGTTGAAGTCCCCGTGGTGCATCTCCTCGACGGTCCTCTTGTATTTGGGCGAGAAGGTGCCGTACAAGAATTGGGTGATGATGGAGGATTTGCCCACTTTGGCGGCGCCCATCACCACCACCTTGTGCCGCACGCTGCTCACCGGGCCGACGCTGTCGGTTTTTTCCGTCGACTCGGCGTCCTCGCTCCTCTGAGACCTGAGAACTCTACTAAGATACGGTCACGAAACACTGGGGTTTGTGTGCACGTTTAAGGTAGTTGTCGTGCTGTAAGCATACCATCAGAAAATTTTAAATTTTTGTATACTTATTAAGGACATGTCAATACAATTATCCTTAAAATTTGAAGTCGATTGACCGTCTATAAACCGAGTTAAATTCAATTAAAAATTAGATAATTAACATGGATTGTATACGCTTTCTGTAGTTCTGTACCAGTTTCTTAGTTATAAAAAAAACTAACTGTCAGAAGCTTTCAAAAAACTAACAGTCTTTTAATGTATTTTTGCTGAGTTTAAAAAAAAAAAATTAAAAATTTTTGACCGTCCAACCGTTTAAAGTTCTACAATTTGTAAAAAGTATACATCACTAGTGTCAGATAAAAACAACTTGGCAACGCTGTACGCGAGTATAGATATTATTTCCGCAGTAAATTTAAACATACTGATTCAGTCTCCAATATATCTATTGGTTGAGCATAAGCGACGTTGCCAGATTAAAACTTATGAAAATATTTGAAAGTATTACGTAAAGTTAACGTCTCCAGGGTACAGTCTTGCGAAAAAATTACGAATCACTTAGCTACGAGCTCGTATACTTTTACGGTGCGTATATTCTAAAAATTTTTGACAATATTGTACCACGACAACTACCTTAAGTATAGTAAAACCATGGTTTGGGAAAGAGATTAGTCAACTTTTTCCCAACCAAGTTTGCTGTACGATATCTTACATTTATTGGGGTTTATTTTGACATATAAATTGTTTTTTCGTTCAGTTTGACCAAAAATTGACATATTTTATCCCAACGCGATAGCACAAAAACTGCATGAAGATAAAGACTCAAGTAAAGTTATTTTTGGCCAACTGAAGTTTGGTCGAAAAATAGCAAAGCGTTTGTAATGGAGGTTGATCGAAACTTTGCAAATAATTGATCAGCATGAAAAAGAATCAGTTACTATACTATATGCGCAATAGCGAGTTATAGGTACGTGGCAGTAAATTAAAATTTCAAGACCTTCTCTACAAAAAAAACCGTAAAAAAGTACACGTGTGTTAAGTTTTAAACGGCTTTAAATTTTGAGTAAGTAATTAAGGTTATGTTTTCAAGTTTTTTAATAAATAATTCAATTATTATTCAATTTCTTACATTTCGAAGATTGTTATTTCCTCGTTAATTTTGAAGTATTATAAATTTACATTTGTAGTTCTATATTAGGTATGTACTATTTTAGAAATTCTTCATAACATGAGGTATAGCTTCCATAACATGAGGTATAGCTCCAGTTTAAAATAATTTAAAATTACATACGTATGTATATGCCCAGTTCTGCATGATATAACCAATAGAGGCAAGTTTTGGAACGATAGTCAATTTGTAAATTAATTTTAAATGGAATAAGGTTAGTTTTAGAATATTATGAACTTTTCAGGGTATAGGGTTGTACATGTAAATGTACATACACCACTAACTCATTTTTATTAAAAGTGGATAAACCGAGTTTTGGAATGGAATTTTACCAATAAGTTCTTAATGTTTAAAAATAGTATATTAAAGAACTAATGTCATAAGACGTAATTTTGTCGCACGCGGACAATTTATTTGTAATTGACGAGTGCAACAAAAGGTCTTACGACATTAGTTCTTTATGCTATTTTATCTATTTTGCAAAAATTCTATAAAAAAAAATAATTTTATACCTTAAATTTAATTTGGTCGAATTTTACTTTAGATAGTTTTATCACAGTCATTGGTTTGACAGTTAATGTCAAAATCGATTCGCCATGCCGTCCTTAATTTACTTATTTACAATAAGCGGCTGTTAGGATTTTCTTTGGTGTTAAACAAAATTTATTGCCAGAAAAGTCTCGTAAGTACTAGAAAAATCATAAAAATAAAATAACCAATATGCAAAATATATATCAAATTTAAAGTTAGCCAACCTATAAAATCAAAATTTTGGGTGGGAGAAAGTATCTCATTACAGCACCGAAAACGGTGTTATAATGAAGTCATTATAAACGCAAAATAGATAGCCTTATCTTAATTCTATTTGTCTTATGTATTAGGTATAACACGTATAAAGGTATTTTTTTCAAAACAATTAAAAAAACTTTCTCATTAAAAACAATATTTTTTTTTCAAATTTTTATTATTTAAAAAACTTTTTAATTATGCTTTTCTTGTTTTTTTATTAAATTTTAATTTTTTTTAATCTTTAATTGTTTTCTGTGCCTGTATTTGTAATATATATGTATATATAAAATGTTTTATTTACCCAATTTGGAAATACTATCCAAAAAATTTATAGATTTTAATGTAAACGAGAAAATTTTTTTTAGTAGTCTTTCTAATATAATTATAATATTTGTAAATAGTCTGGATTTGTTCAAATATTTACCAAAATTATGTCATTGGTCAATTTTTCAAAACCCAATATTTGCCCAAATAAACATCAAACTTTTGTCATAGTTTTTACATGCCCAAACATTCCCAAAATGGCCATCGGCAACCTTCCTAACTTAATCCAAACTTCCAAATTTATTGGCAAAACTTTTCCAAATGTGAAAGGGCATTTTGGCCAAGTTTTAACCTGATTTGGCTCTCTGGGTAAATGTATAAAATAAATGACCACTATAAATTATACTTAGATTAAAATTATACAGTGTCACCTAATAAATTGGCATTCTTTGGGGGATATTACACGCCAAAACAAGAAAGTTTTATTAACAAAGTAATCAATGATAATGATTTTTTTATTTAAAAAAATGGCACTAATGCAAAAATGATAGAAAAAAACTCTTATTTTGGCCTGTACTATGATCCCCTTTAAGGGTGACAACTTATTTGGTAACTCCCTGTATATATATATATATTAAAGACTATTTAACTTTCTCAGTATTAAAATAGACTAAAAATTTAGGTACAAAGCAAAGTAACTCATAAATTAAATTTGTTCTGCTAAAAGCGTTGTTCATTTTAACTCGTGTAAAAGAGGACGCTTTTAAAATTCAATAACGGCTGTCGCTCGTGTGAACCCCCGAGCCGGAAAGCTTTAAACCGAGTTAACCGAACAGAAGAGCATCTGCACACGTCTGCATAATTTCCTATGTACATACGTGGACTGCAATTTACTAATATGCACCGCTGGATTATTTGATGCAATAAGGAAAACAACAAACACAAATACAAGTTATTACAAATATAATAATAATAATAATAATTTATTTGCGAAGACAATAAACAATATACCTATAGGTATACATTAATGATTTACAATAAAACACAATTCTGCAAAAAGGACTGAAAGGCATTATGTATAACAGAATTTTTTTATTTGGTAGGTGAGTAGACACTTGCCAAGTAAGCCCAACTATAGTTATTTTTAAAATATCTCTTAACCCTTTTTAAAGGTTAAAAAGTTAATATAACGTTATATAACTTCTAACTCTCTTAAAATGAATTAGGTAGTCAAAAATAACTAATTAAATTTGACGAATTGTCATAGCGAAAAAGCATTTACTAATAATTAGTCAAATTCTACTGAATGAAATAGTCAAATTGGTAGATTTAAATTTAAAAAAAAATTCTGACCCAGTCGGGGTTTGAACTCGAGTTTACTATCAGAAATAGTAAAAAATGATGACTTATATTAAATTAGTCAAACTTTAACTAAAAAATAATTATTTAAAAGTGAAAACGACTATTTTATTAAAAATGCTGGTATTAATTCAAATAGTAGAATTTTGACTATTTGATTTTAAGAGAGAATATAACCTACTTTTCAACTTACAAGTAATATTTGGTTTATTTATACCCTTGAAATAACCTTAATCTATTTTGCGTTTATAATGACTTCATTATAACACTGCTTTCGGTGCTGTAATGAGATACTTTATCCCACCCAAAATTTTGATTTTATTGGTTGGCTATACTTTAAACAGCATAATATTTTGCATATTGGTTATAATATTTTTATGATTTTTCTAGTACTTACGAGACTTTTCTGGCAATAAATTTTGTTTAATACCAAAGAAAATCATTTTTTTCTTCTTTAACATTAACAGCCGCTTATTGTAAACAAGTAAATTAAGGACGGCATGGCGAATCGATTTTGACATTAACTGTCAAACCAATTACTGTGATACCAACTATCTAAAGTAAAATTCGACCAAATTAAATTTAAGGTAAACAATTAATTTTTTTATAGAATTTTTGCAAAATAAATAAAATGCGACAAAATGACGTCTTATGACATTAGTTCTTTAATATACTATAATTTACCTATAGGTAAATTATTTAAATGGTTCCTTAATCTTTGGCTTTCAGAGCTTTTTTACCTAATATTTTTTTTTAATTTTTTTAGGGAGAACAGTACCAAATTAGAATTTTTTAATAAAAAGGTATAAAAAAGCATTGCATTTATTTTTTACCATTCTCATAAATTTTAATTGATTTTTTATAAATAGTTTACATCAATCAATTTAAATCAATTGCTAACGATTTTTTTAATCATACGAAATAATAACGAAAAAAGATTTTTCAAAAAATTTTATGTGGTAGGTAACTTTCTACTACTAAGGGCCAGTTTATTCACCTCCCTTTAAATTTACTAGATGGATAACTGTCATAGTTACCATTGTTGACACAATTGTAACTATGACAATTAAGCATTGGGTAAATTTAGTGGAAGGTGAATATACTGGCCCTAAGACTAATATTTATTTTTAATTTTCATGACAACGTCAAAAATCAGGGGCTCACTCGGCAAATTTCTACTCAGGTGTCAGTGGCGGCTGGTGGATTTTGGCACAACCATATCTCAGTTATTAGACACGGACCCACATCAAATTTATATGAGTTTATAATGACATTATATAGACAAGTTCTGCGCAAGCAGAATTTAAATTAAAGTTTGCGAAAAAAAGTTAGTTTTTAAGTGCAACCCCCAGCCTCCTGCCCCTCCAAATTAAGATAATTCAAATTAAAGTGGTACAATATTTAATTCACTGAAGTTTATCGACAAATTTCAAATTTTATTAAAAAAATTCAAGTATTACAGATTTTATACCATTTCAAATTTTTTTAAATTTAGTAAAAGAAATAATAAAAATTATAAATGGTATAAAACCTGTAATTCTTGAATTTTTTTAATAAAATTTGAAATTTGTCGATAAACTTCAGTGAATTAAATATTGTACCACTTTAATTTGAATTATCTTAATTTGGAGGGGCAGGAGGCTGGGGGTTGCACTTAAAAACTAACTTTTTTTCGCAAACTTTAATTTAAATTCTGCTTGCGCAGAACTTGTCTATATAATGTCATTATAAACTCATATAAATTTGATGTGGGTCCCATGTCTAATAACTGAGATATGGGTGTGCCCAAAATCCACCAGCCGCCACTGTCAGGTGTAACAATGGCTTTTTATGACTGACAGCTTTTCTACCCCATTTTTCTCAAATTCCTTACCTACACTTTTTTATAAATATAATATATATAACCTACATCAGTTTACTCAGTGAAGCAAGACTTTTCGAGAAATTTTATTAACCCTGTATATTTACCGTGGATGAGTCCGTCTGTCATCATCTGATTCTTCTTTTAGAAATGAAGGCTGCAAGCTGAACCGCCTGCGGAACTGATGTCTGCCCTTCATTAAAATATTTTTATTTGACGCCAGTCTTTACTGAAACAAAAAAATATTTTAATATATTTTTTTTTAATAAAAAAAAACAAAATATATAAAATTACCAAACTTGTATGCATTTTGCTATTAGATATCTAGGTCATTTAATATAATATAACAATAACGATATTAAAACTTAAACATAGGAGACTCATAAAATGTGAAATATTAATCTTTAATCTTTACAGTTTGGGACATATCTTGAGTTCCCTAGTCATCTGTTCTGGTCTTGGTGAAATATTTCAGTGATTCATTCATTTTGATTTGGATTTGCCGTAGCCTTTTAATTAAAAATAATTGCTGTCTATACAAATCGTCGTCGTCGACGTTGTTCTTAAAATAGATCGCGCCGTGAATGCAGATCGCTTTAATCCCACTACGAACATTTTTAATCAATCATGAAACCTCAGACTTAACCGTCTGCATAATTCCGTCGCGCAATCAAAGTTCCTGGCGTACAAATAATTGAAATTAGTTCTCAATCACACCCTTAACTTCTATTACCTCGAAAACTATGGTTCAATTCAACTAGATTCAATGCTTTGCTCATATTTTTTGCCTCGCAAAAGCAAAAAATTCCTAGAGGCAGACTACAAGTAAACAAAACATAAAGGATGGCCCGAGTTGAATTCATTTACAATGTGATGCTGGTGGGTTTCTGCTTATCATGTGTTTACTGAATCAACAGACGGGTTCGCCGGTCGAAATTTACGATTTCACCTAGGAATTTCATCGAGACCAACAACAAATGTCTTTATTGCAAATCAAATACAACCCTTTTATGTTGCTTTCAACAAAAGCTAGAAAACTTTCTTTGGGCAAACTTTGGAAAGTGATTTTTGAAGAAATCATAATATATGTTTATATACAGGATGGTGCATTAAAAACAGTCCAGCTGATTTACAAATTTCGTAAAGCAAAAATTCGTTAAAAACATGGGTCGTTTTCAAAGAACACCCGCCTTCCGCTGTCCGTAAGTTTGAATTCCAATAACTTTGTTAAAAATTATCGGATCTTATTGATTTAAAAACCAAGTGAAAGCCTAACAAGCCCTTAGTAATCTCTTTCAGAAAATCTTTGTTTAGTTATTTCAGAATAATTTTTTTTTTAATTTTGAAACTTGTAAAACACACATTTTCGCATGTCCCATTAGAGTTTTATAAAACTTACATACATGTTTTTTTTTAATATTGAATAACCAGAACTTTGTGTTGCTTTATAGCAATCCATAACATCCTTAGTTAATACAGTAAACAATTTATATATAAAATAATTCATTTTAATCTACTTTTTTTAAATTTGACTCATGTCCCAGACATTTTTTCCGTTGCGTTACGTCCGTCGCGTTACCGATAGAATATTTAAAAAAACATATATATGGCAACTTTTTTGGTACTCACGTGATCAACAAATGATATTCGGTCCTACACATTACCCAGCTGAATTTATTTATTCAATCAAGAAGAAGATATCGGTTGAAACAGGTGCGGGTAACGCAAATGTAATAATTGTTTGTCCGCTAAGTTACTCAAAAAAATAATAAAAATAAGGTAAGAAAAAATACTGTTTTTCATGTTTATGTTTATTTTAGGGCTCCAAAGCTCATTGAGAGTAATTAATTATTATTATTTTTTAAATATGGTTTTACAAAACTTTGTCCACTGCGTTACCGAGTCCACTATGTTACCTTATGGTAACGCAATGGAATTTAGGGTAACGCAATAGAATTTTTCGACAACAAAGTGGATATTTACCGTCGCTTTTATTAAAAGTAGTTTATGATTATCCAATTTAAAATTATTTGTAATTAGAACTCATGATATAGATTACATCCAAGGAAAAATTCCACGCAATATAAAAGTACTAAAAGGGACCTTCACCAATCAAAGAAAAAGGGTGTCTACAATTTAGAAATCTAAGTTGTTATTCTGCAAGTGAGCACCACTACAAAGGATTTTGTTTATGCATTACTCTAAAATCGTACCACCCTATATAGTTTCTTTTTTACGTTATCTGATTAAGTCCTTTGTGTACCCCAGTCCGTTGTGATACCAATGTTTATTTCGTTACTTTTTTTAGTTTTTGTTAAAAAAAATACTTAAAATGATTTTTATACACTATCACTTGGTAAAACGTGTTTATAAATTAGAGTTTAATTCACTAATACAGTGACTAAAAGAAAATATTAATGGTATTGTTTTTTTTAACAAAGAATCGGAATGGTTTCTTTTAAAAAGTAACTTAACGAACATACATATTTAAAAAAAAGCATACAATTTTTAATAAAGAATAAAATAAAAAATTGGAGTCAAAAGTTTGTGAACTAAGTTACATTTTATTTCAAATTATTTTTATAACAACTTTTTTTATTGAATTAAATTTTGGATTTCAAATTGGTAATGGAGATATATAAAGCTAGCTAAACACATTTTTATGAAAAAAACGTAAAAAAAAAATAAAAAGTGCACTGCCTGTCTTAAATGTAAGTAAATAAAACTCTAAACATTTATAAAAATCCAACCAAAAGTCAATTTAAGCAAACAAAATATTTTGATCTTCATTTTCCTGAAAGCGGGTGTTTCTTGAAAATGACCCATACATACAAAACCATATATTATATCAAAAAATACGTCATATAATACTAATACCACATAATTTTGTTGAATCAATACCATTTTATTCAATTACTTAAAAACTACGTACTTTAACTAACAATTTATTTATAGGATTTTTATGTTACAGAAAAATACTAAAATAGATTTATTGGTTTAATTTTAAACGTGATGATTGTGTAGATTTGGGAATAAATACAGTTTTTATTCGAATATTCCGAATGGGAAAAATCACGTTCCTTTTATATTTCCACATTTCGATACTTCATAATAGTCTAGTGCATTAAATAATTGACCCAAACATTTCGAAAACATCTTTTTGGTTGTTGCTTATAATATATTTGAAAGGGGTTTTAATAAAGAACTTAACCCTTAACTGTAGAAATTACCCTTTCCCCGCCATCTTGTTGCATACACAGTAAAAAAATTTGCCCGTGTAAATTTTTTAGTGTAGGGGTAAAAATATTAGAGTTGATTTGTAAGTGTAAAATTTACACTAGAAAAACTTAATGCGAGTGTGTTAAATAGTGACAAAATGTACACTACAGTGCCATGCCAATTTCTTTGTCTGTTTTGATGTTACTTTTTTCTTTACACTACCAGTGCACATTGTATCACAATTAAAGTTAAATTACACCAATAGTGGCAAAATAGACTGAAAAAACTGGTAATAACCGAAATGCGTTTTAAAATGTTTGGTTGGTACCTATCTACCTACGCAGTGCATATCCGGAGATACCGCGTTGTGGAAGTGTGGCATTTTTGTTCAGTTAGATTTTAATTACGGTGAATCCATAAGGCGACATTCTTATTTTTTGGTAAGTATTACCTCCTTTTTCTTTAAGCCTTAATACTCAATAAATGCAAATATGTTAAAAGAATGTCCATACCCGACCTATATTATATATCAATAATTTACGGCAGTAGGTCGGATACTTGTAACATTAATAATATAAATACATACACACTTGATTTACTTTTTATTTTCAAGCGTAATGGTTGTTATATTAACCTATACATACATTTTTATTAATATTATGGAAAATTTGTACACGTTTGGTAAATCCCCGACATACAGCCGCCTGACGCCTCTCTACCAATGGGATCACCCATTTTTTATAACAGAAAAATGGATTACTGATGAATTCTCAAGAAAATTCATTGCTTACAAGTTGACAGCCAGTAAAACATTGCATTGCAACTTTTACGTTTTAAGGAACCATTTTGCTTAAGCCAGCCATACGACTCAAATATAAAATTATATTTTAAAAGGCACCGATTTTGATAATTGTCATAGATTTTTGTTTCAAATAAATGTTTATCTTTATTTACCTTTTCGTTTTATTCACTACCACCAATAGGTTTTACTCAAATAATAGTGTTAATTTACACTAGAATTTTGCACTTAAAGAGTAAAAGTACCTTTCTAAAATTAGAAACTTTCCAAAGTAGTGTTAATTTACACTGAACAAATGTGAAATTTTACCCAGGAAGTGTAGAAGTACACGATTTTAGTTAAATTAACACTTTTTAATACAGTGTAAAATTACTTTATCGTCAGTGCTATAATGTTAAATCACACTTGCTTACTTGGGGAAAATTACACTACAAATTAACTCTAATTGTAGTGTTATGAAACAACACTATTTAGTGTTGCTTTTTTTACTGGGTAGAGAAACCAATCCAACTATCTTGGATAACGTTGCATGTTGCACAACTTTGCACAACTTTGTGCAATGTTTTTCTCTGTGTACCAGAAAAATATGGGGTTAAAATTTCATAATGATATATTTATTAGGCTTGTTTGTAAAATATCTACTCTATAATGTCAATGATATTCAATGACCTTAAAGGAAAACGCCGCCTATCCAGTTCATGTATAATCGACGAGTAATCAAACTGAGCAAGACCCTGCAATGTATCCTATAGACTGTATAACATAGAGAGGCATGCTGGGGTAAGACTGACTGACCTTAAAGCACAGACTAATCTATAACCACCAACACGATTCAATCACCTATAACGTTTGGCTCTAAGCACTTTCTATGCATTAAGCTTAATTAATTTGTGCTTGAAGGTTGAGAAATTCTAAATAAAACTCGTCTAAAGCATTTTTTATAAAATACATCCTTTAAAAACAGTTTGGATTCTTGTCATGCAACTTGGCAATTTGATAGAAGAGGGCGAAAATATTAATATTCAGCTCGCTTAAGAAATTCAATCAGAGTCTCCTGGGGAAGCCCTGTAAATTGCTAATTTGATTTGATCATTTACGATGACGTGTTAAAATCGTTTTGGTTTTAATTTAAAAATTACATATTTTACCGCATAATTTTCTGGCCTACATTTGTTTAATTTGACCTAAATAAAAGTTGTTTTTATATTTAT